TGTTAAGGAAAACAATCTTAAACAATAGACACTAAGATGCTGAATTGCGTCTGGCTGAAATGCAGTCTTAGTGATAAGGCGATTGTAACTTGATTTAGTTTTTTCTGCTCAACGTTTTTGTGTAACTGTAAAGAGTCATGAAAAAACCAATGCTTGGTTCAGTCAACTACTGCATAACGGTCATCAAGGAATAGAAAAATGTGGATTGAAAAAACGTTTAAGAAAATACTAATAATAAGTAGTATGTGACGTTTATTAAATTAAGTCTCAATGTTTTGTCCTAACAATTATTACCTCTTCGAATTCCTAAAAAATGTTATTTGAAAATTGATAAAATACGTTTCGTAGATTTATATAAATACATTTTATAGAAAAGTTTTAAATAGAAAAATACGTATTTCTGTGATCTTTGTTCAATCGGCACCCAAAATACTAGTGAAAAATTAGACACGGTTTAGAAAAAAAAATAGAGCAATAATGGAATTTTTTTGTATCAAAATTATAACTGTTTCTAAATTAATATTTATTGTATGAAAATGCGCAGTTCAATTCATAAATGAGGCTCAACTAACTGGTTCTCAAAATACTAGCCAAAAAAAAGCGGAAAGATTTTGAAAATTAGATGAATCTCAAGATTGTAGTCTTGATGACCTTCCTGAAAAATTCTAGATTCATGTCTTAATACAGAAAAATGCTTATTTCAAGCAGGTTTAATTTGCTGTTTTATATAAAAAATACTTTTTATCGATATATCTACGCTTGTTTGTAACGTTTTGTTTTTTGAGTTTCAAGAAACTTTATTTGTTGAAAATAAAGCGTGTAAGTTCGGTTTACCCTTTCAATCGTTCAATTCCAACTTACCCAAAATAAGCATGAAAAGCTGCAGTTGCCAATTCTGATTACAACCGATTACAAAAAGGCAAAAAGTTCAATATCTATAAAAAAAATGCAGTTTTCATCTTAAATTGACAAACATTAAAACATAACAAAAAATTTTGTTCAACCTCTAAATAGCAGACTGGAGAAAGTTCCATTAAAAGATATGCCTATAAACAAAGGAAAAGCGAACATGAAGATAATTAGCTAAAAATCAATATCCAAAGAAAACCCCAGACGGTAAACAAATCACAAGAAATAACAGGAAGAAATTTGCTGAAATACACATTAGTGTAGTTCTTCAACTTTACAATATTAAAGACAAAAAGTAATAATACATTTTATAGTTATTTCTGGCGAATTTAGAAATTCTGCTTGTGAGCTATTCGCTCCCTAGATTTAGACTCTTGAACTTTTTCAATTAAGCAGAGATGTTCTTGATTCAGGATGTACTATGCAACTTAATTGAAAACAGCCACGTTCTTTTTGAGGAAATAAATCGACAATTTGGTAAATTCACGAGAACATTGCATATTTACGAATTTTAAGTGAATTGCTTCCAGAATTCAAAACTTTAACATATTTCTATGGGAACCACCCAGCCACAGCTTCGTCACTTATTTTATGGCATATCTATCTAGATTAAAAGATGACCTGGTAACCTTTCCATTGATCTTTTGCTTTACCGAAAATGATCAAGAGGTTTAAACTGTTACAAGGATTAGATTTATTGAGGTTTGATAGAGTAATGAGAGTATTTATTTAAGAAATATTAAATTTGTTTAAAAAAAAAGGAAACAATTTTAGTTTTAAAAAGAAAAACCAAAAAGAATTTTGAGTATTAATTTGAGCGTTAACGAAGTTGTGAACTTTTTAGGTTTATTCACCAATTTATAAACTACCTAAGCACAAGAAAATGTTACACAACTTCTTTCGATTAAAACGATCCCGAATTTGATATTCATAGCTGAAAGAATACTAAAAGAGGATAGGATCTACAGGAGAAAAATAACATTTTTTTAATGTGTTTGAAGCTTTTTAATGATGCATGCTTGGATATATGACGAATTTGTTAAGCTGAGCAGTAAACCATATTTGCCTGTTTTTAACAAGCAGTGATTTACGGTCATTTTTGCATAAACTAACATATGTAAACTACCTATTTGTTTGTACCGAACAAGGCATTTGCGTAAGCTGATCCATAAAAACTCAAAAATTTCAATATGTTTTAGAAGCGCTTTTATAACGGTGAAAAATTCAAAGAGTTGAGCTTTCATGTCTATGAAGATTTGCAAATTTCAGTGGCTTGCATACTTAGAGCTTTTTCGCTCGAAAGCTTTTACTAGACTGAAGTAAAAAACTTTGATCAGTACTTCTTGGAAAACTCCTAACTTGTGGATCAACTTATCATTTGAAAAACTCTCAATTAAATACTGAACCGGGGATGATTTTCCTAGGTATATGGTCGCCAGGCCAACCTCGTCGCCCCCCATCGCCTCCGGGCAAACAATACCAAAGAACCTGTTCTGAGAATTCTGAAAATGAGCCAGTTTTACCCATATGGACTCCAAAAAGTGCCAATTCCAGCCCTCTGGTTGAACGCAAAGAGTTTCGACCTCTCAACTTCCAATCACCTGTGTTAGGTCGAAAAAACCGAACAAGATCCGAGGTAAATCACTATCTAATTCCTCCAACTCATCTATCTATCATCTATGCTATTTGAATCTTTTAGACTATTCCAACACCAGATTCAACATCTGAACCTCCCTGGAAAGTTCCAGAAGGTAGCAGTGATACAGCTTTGCATTTGTCTTCCACATTGGATAGGAGATTGCCCACTAGTCAATCGTCACCTGGTTTTGGAAGTTTTTCCACCAGTCCGAGGCTCCCGAGGGCGCAAAATCCCACCATTACTTTACTGCAGAAAGCCAGAGGTACTTCGATCTGACTATTCTTTAAACCAGCAAATAATTGCGAATTTTAGAAGGACAGTTGCCCAGAGGCGCTCAGTACCTGAACCAAGATAGGAAGCTACCAAACGATCGACCTCCGATTAAATATCCTGGTGAAATATGTAAGTATCGGATTGTTCAACCGAAGTTTTCCTCGACTATTTCATAGTATTCTCATTAAATCGCGTCAGTTCCAGGAAACTTTCAGTATTTTTTCTGAAGATGCAAGGCGTTCGTTCATTTCAGTAAACGGCTAGGAAACTTTTATTTAAATGTTTCTTGTTGAGAACGATGAAAGCGACAGCAGGAGTGCGCTATTGGCAATATAATAGATATTTTTACAGTTTAAGAAAAAATTCTAACTGCAGTTTTTGATGTTTAATAAATTGCCATATCCGATTAGAAACTAAAAACCGTTAGGGAGTTTTCTGGGCGGTTTTACAATTTTCTTCTCCCGTATAGAACCATTACACATCTCCAATAAAAGTGTTATTTTTTTAGTATATCACATCAAAAACGAGTATACGAGCGAATCAGACAGCGAAAGACCGAGAAAAATGGCCGACCTGGCCCCCAGGAAATTTGAGGGAATTGGGCCAACAACCAAAGATGGAATGCCCTTAATTTTAAGATCTGTAAGGAAATAAATTAATACTCACAACAGAAAGTTAAATAACCAATAGACCCAATAAATTATTAAAAATCCTTTAAATCATCCTACCTCCTTTGACATATTAATCCCAATTCATTGAGGAAAGCCAACTAACTGTTTAATGGCGACAATAAAGAAACATATCTACCATCGTTGAACGAATAACAGTCCAAATTTATCTTTTTCCAAACTATTTGCCTGATTATCCGATTTTTAATCTTATCTTTACTCTGAAAATTCACTAATCCTTTCGGCTATGGCATATTGGCAAAAAGCTATGATATTGATTCTCAGGTTGTACCTACATTAATAAATAGAGTTAAAAATTTTAATGGAAATTTACTTTGTGGAACAGGAAGTCAAAAATGAAGACCAATCAAAGTGGTATAAGCGGATGTATGATACAATCCATAAACAGAAGCCACACAGAGGTAAGAACAAGTTAATAAATATATTAAAATTTTGTGTGTCACATTGTGACTTTAGACCTCTTCCTAGACGGTTAAAAAACTCACACTTCTTTAAATGCATCAAGGTTTTTTTGCGAACATTTTATGGAATTATCTTAGTTTAACTTCTGTAAAGTTGAATTAGATAATTTCATCTTCATGACTGGATGTGAGTGATTAATATTTTCATTCTTTATTTTATTAATTAAATTAATTATGTATTTTTTTTTCAGACGAATATGTTACAATTAAATACAAACAAAAACGAGGTAAGAAAATGCAGATGTTTTACAATCTTCAATTATGAAACAATAGCTCGAGTTATGTATAATAAGTGATAACATCGTTCACCAAAGTGTGAACGTTTTATTGATAATACTTGACTTGATATGAGCAATACTTGACCTTTCGGATATAATCGGTTTTTCGTTGATTTGCCCTCATCATAATCGAATCCATTGATGCTGTATGTTCAATTTGTGAAACATGCTCAAAATTTCTCGCAATTTATAGACTATTTAACCAATTAATATAATTTATTAAGCTTCAATCAATCGATGACTCAATCTATCAACGGCAATCTTATATGCAAAATTTAGAACAACTCACATTACCTCTTCAATTTTTCATCGAGCCAATATATCAGTGCTTATCACTTTATTCAAATTTTTATGCCGATAAACTCGAACGAATTACGAGATTTTCTCCCGTTTCTTAACGACAAACTGAGCGCAATTTTACGATCTTGTTTGTTTATTACGTGAGACTTTAGCTGCTCAAATGTTTGAACGGGATCTATTTAAGAATAATCGCTAATTTCAATTAAAATAAGAGTGCAAGTGGAAAGAACAGTTGCCTGAACTTGTGGCTATAAAATAAATTTGGATTAGCTATGTTTTGAAAGGTAATCCCCACAAGGAAAACGTTAAACGCTCATTCCGAGAATTTACGAGTGTGTTTTATTGGCTAAGGGTTCAAGTACAGATGGATCAAGATGGTTTTTAAATGCCTACATGGTCAATTCAAGTCAAGAGTTTACTATTTTCTGTTGCTACTTCAAAATTATCGCTTCCGATATCTTCTCCTAATGTACGATTGATAATTTTTTTTTAATTTGTTCACTTAACCTGTAACTTTTTAATATTTAGCCCAATACCCCTATTCTTCTGGTTACCTATCTGAACCCGAGCCGGGGGCATACGATAGTGATTTCACCGAGTACAAATACCAAACATTGGATCGAAGACGAACTCCCCAAACTCCACGCTATATCAGTAATAATTCAACAATGCCTCGAAACGTTCCTGAGAAGTGAGTACAAGCAACTCACGCATTAATTATAGCTTGAAATATTCTAGAAAAGTTGGACCAACGATATTATTTGCTTATTTCTATTTTAGATCATACTCCTCATCAGATATTATAAGAAATTCGCATGTAAAGTACAACAATCAGCCGGGTCGAATTGAAAACTACCGACCCGGCCACTCTTCTATTTCTGAAAAGGAAGCAAAACAGGTAAATAAGTTTGTACATCTTCGATTTCTTCCCACAGTACGACTGACTTAAAAGCAAATTGATAACAAAGACCAAAAATGTAAATAAAATTAAACGAATTTGTCTAGCAGTCATAGCAATAGTAGTAAAAACTTCTAGCATGGACAATAATCAATTGCAATCTAGGAAGAAAATAGTAGAATAACATCGGGCCAAAAGAAAAGTGTATGTTAATATTATCGCATTTTCAATCGTATTTGCTGAACAGCCGCAGTTGTAGTTTTCTTTGCACAAAACGGGAATATATTTACTAATAACAAAAAAGCCAACTCTCTCTTATGAATGCACTTGCGTTCATATTGCAATGCACTTGCGTTAACTAGTATTGCTAATAATGATATCAATATACACGATATTTGTAAGCTTCATCTTTCAATTGTATATTTAATAAAAATGACTCAATTTTCTTGATGAATTACCGGATACTAATTTTATTGCACTGAAAAATTTGCTAAATAAATATACGATTTGACATTGTAACTCAGCTCTGTGAAGTCCTTTGACGATAATTTTACATTTTTATATTTTCCTTTTAGTGGTGGGACGAAGTTATGGATATTTTTGACGGGGTACGACCAGTTTTACATTTATTAACCCACAGATTTCATTTCCAGTCACACAAATTAATGTTACCTGACGACACAAAACCCACTCACCAATTTCTCTCGATATCTTATTGCTGAAAGCAACTTCACATTCATAACAAAACGGAGTTTTTTTTATCGAATCCTTTCACCAATAATTTATCGAAATATTATTAATGTTACACACTACTAAAATTATTTTTTTCTGCTAAACTAGTGACTAACATTTGTGTCTCTCCGTTAAAGTGGTTAGATGAAAATTCGGCGTTACCCAGCTATGATGTCATGTTAGTCAGGGCGATGGCCAAATCTGTAAGATGCTGAAAAGCATGCATAAACACACAAGTTTTTCTCTAGTTTTATCTTTCACACTTTTGTCATGCTCCTTATAATTTGGTTGTGCCATTGTTTGACTTGTTGAGAACCATTTTGCTTAATTTTACCAAGATGAAACCAAGAGAATACACTATTATTGCTGCTTAATCGTTTTAAATTTATATTTAAGTTAATATCAGTTGTTGAGCAGTGAGTTAAACGTTTGCGTCTGTAACTCCACAATGACTTTGAGACAATGAGAAAAATGTTTCCTTTAACTGAACTGTAATGCACAACAAAGACCAACCATTTAACTGTAAATTTGTAGCCAAAATAAAAACATATGCCACTTTTCAGTCAAGCTCTTTTCTTTCAGTATACAGAACGCCGAAATTTTAAGGTGACTTTTTAGTAGGTAATTCTCTTTTAACTTTTTTAATGTCGACGAAAAGCTTAAAAATTAAGAAACTCTACGGATTTCACCAGCTTATTCACAAATCAATGAGCTGTAAACATTTGGAAATGCTATGCTGCTTGCATCTTCTCCAAAATCTTGCAACTTTTGTTCGAAAAAAGTTTTTTTTGTGAACAAGTTAAACGTTCTGCAATTTTTTATAAAGCCATTGTGTTCACCAGATAAAGCGCACCGTCTTCCCTCAAAAAAATCGACTCATCAAATTTTAAAGAATTTCGGTTTTGAAAAACAGTTCTCATTTCAATAAGCATCTACAATGTAACTTTTAGTTCTCTAAGCTGAAAAGTTTTAACAGCAAAACATTGGTCTTGATTGGTACTTTTAAGCAAATGGTTTGTATTCATGCCTGCCAACTTCATACATTTAATTTCGTAAGATACTTCTAATGATACGTTCATGAACATCTGCAGGAAAAATCCATTGCAGACCAGTTTGTGCAACCATTTTCAAATAAAGCATTTTCCAGAACAATTATAACTTATATATATTAAGTTTACCTTGTTTGTTAAGCCAAAGAATGTGTATCTGAGTGTTTTGAATTGAGTATTATAGACTTGTCTTCTAACTGGCCAAAAATTGCAACTGACTTTCTGAGGTTGAATAATAACTGGCCCCCAAAAAAAATACCAGAAAGTCATTTAAAATTTTTGAGCCCCTAATCTCGTACACTACCCAGCACCAGTTGAAGCATGAATTATTGTGGCATGAGTTACTGTGAGCTATTAATCCGTTGGTCAACCACACATCCTAAAGGAGCTAACTTGGATACGGACTTAACAATATTTCCCAGTTTAGTAATCAAGAAATAATGTAGATTTTTTGAATTTTTAGCATTTGGAGCAGCAAAGTCGCGTTCCGCCGCAAAAGCCCAGAAGCTTTATCAATCAGTAAGTGCCGATCACATGCCTCAACAGCCAAATTGAATATATTTCTTAGGGCGTTGAAAGAATCCGGTTATGAAAGTGACTCAACATTGGTATTCAAGAGAAAAGAAGAGACGGCAGCCAGTCAACTGAGCCCCAAAGATCAACGCGAAGTTTACAAAATGATACAAAAAGGCGGCGATGTTCCTTTCCAGGGGTTGAGAAAACCGGCTCCGGAGCGACCGAAAGGTATGCATTTTGCTTACATTTCAAATCTAACTAAAGCCTTCTATAATAATTAATATTAACAAAAATTGAGCTGGAGTAGTGAACTGGCTCTTTGCATGTTGTTTTAGCTTCTTACTCGACCCTGTACTAAGGTGGTGGGTTCTACTACAAGGTGTGCCTGATGGTTAATCACTTACTTAACATTTCACAGCCAATAAATTTTCAGGTGTGGCGCTATTTTTTATAAACAATTAATTAAATAGCTACAATAACACGTATCAGCAAACACACACAACACATTGAAACATTTCCAGGACACGAAGAGCACCCAGTTAACAACTGAACATCCTTGAAACAATGCGTAATAAAAACGATTTCACAGAAACCGACCTGGTGGAGTTCTTCCCAATGTCTCCAACCCTGACGAAAATCCGAATACACAAGAGCTTTATTCCGCCCAACGAATTTCTGATACCACCGCAAGAGTACTTTTGCTATCCGGCCACTATGCATCAGAAAACGTTTGCAAACTTTAAACGAACTGCTCCTTCGACTCTTCAAATGGACAGCGCGTCTGGCCCTCCAGTTGCACCAACGCCTCCTCCCTCGCCTCCCAAGAGACGGTCCTCAAGAAATAATACGACACTGAGACTGATCAGTACAATGAGAGTCAAAACCGATAAAAATTCCACATGCAAGAGACATGAAACTTGCTTTACTTCGGGAAGTAGCATGAATAAGTCCAACGTAAACTACCTTAGAGACAAGATTACGTGCAAATTGACCCCTAGTGGAAAGAGAAAAGGAGACTCGAATTCCAAGCTGAGTGTTGTGAAGAGCATCAGCGCATCTCCGGATCTGAGATCGAGGATCAGTTCAACCTTATCTAGTTGTCGTGACCCGAAAACATCAGCTCGACGAGTTCAGAGTAGCACCAGAATAAGTGCAGACAAACCCCAGCAGAGGGGACTCTACAAAAGTGGATCAACTGGAAGCATAATCAGCAAAAAGAGCTCAACTGAAAGCCTCAGCTCTAGAACATCCACCCCTGTTAAGACCTTCGGAAGTGAAAAACGAAAGTTTGATCTCACTTTGCCTGTGCTTAGCTCCAAATCAAAGCTAGTAAAAACTAAATCTGATGAGCTGCTTTCACCCACTGAAGTCAAAAAGGGCATTACCAACATTTCAAAGTGTCATGCCCAGTACAAAGAATCCTTAGCTCCGCTACGTGACCGAAACTCCCTACCGATCAAAATTGGAATCACTGAGAAGGGCAAACAAATCTTAAAGTCTTCCATCAAAAGACCATTGCTATCGCCGAAAACCTCTCGAATTACAATTGGGCAAAAAAGCCGAACTTCAACTGAATCGTTGAATTCCCCTAAGAGAAAAACGGTGGGTTCCAACATGAAATCAAGTGCAAAGACTGAGGGAAAAAAATCGCAGCCAAAAACCAAGAAGGACCAAATCAATGGAACCCTCAAGCAAAATGCTGCAGACAAAAAGTGCCTGAGTAAAGCAACAGGTGCTGAAGTGGCCAAAAAACTTGCCAACATCAAAACACCCGTCACTTGTCCCCAAATGCTCACTCTAGAGTCAAATCATTTCTTCAGAAACTTATTTCTGCGCAACATGAAGCCTTCAGCCTCTTTCACTTTGCCGAAGAACACCTGGCTGATCGAAAAAACAAATCAGCTAACGCGAAGAAGAGCGTCTTTGACAGAGCCCAGTATTGGGGCCATGCAAATTTACTTGAAACATACCAAACCAGTGACTGATTCCAGATTTATCAGCCTGGATGTGATTAGATCCAGAAGCGCCAGCCCAAAGTCCGTAACTTTTTCCGAGAACATCTCCACTCAAGGAACCTCAAAGCGAAGCAAAAGCCTGCCGAGTAAAATGGTGTTCTCGCAAACTTCACGACCAATCACTCCACTAATGGCAGTGAGGGGACGGTCTCCGATTCTAAAACCTTCTGGTTTAGGTAGAGAACCATATATGTCTTCAAGGCAAAGCCCCAGCCCTCCCAGGAAACTTACGTTTAGCCAGCCATATCGACCAAAATCGCCCATTTTAAAGCAACCTCTACTACCACGCACGGGGCGAAGTCCCAGCCCTCCAAAAAAACTGTTCTTCTCTGAAACAAGTAGGCCAATCTCCCCGGAAGTGAGACGAAAAAATAGGCCAGAATCTTCTCCACCCCCTTCGCCACGTATTCCTAGATCTCCATCATGCAGGAAAATAATGCAATTCAAAAGCCAACAAGAGCAGAACAGGCCACAAGAGCTAACATTGTATACTTGTCCAGATCTGAACCACAGCACCACTTCTTTGGACTCCTTCAGAAGTGAAGACTATCAAGTGTACTTAAAAGACCTGGTTTACAGTGACAAAAACGAGAAGTTCAAGGAACTCAATCATTTTTATAGCGACATAGAAAAGGTCGGAGAACTGGAGCAGAAGTTCTCCTTAAAACCGCGAAGGAAAGATGAAAACGAAATAATCGACTACGACCGATGGATGGAGGTAAGATCAAGAGAAAAGGCCGAACACGAACTGCAGCATCTTTACCACCATCTAAAAACCCACGAGAAAGAGAAAGGCTTTTTGTTTCTACCAAAGGACGTTAAGCAGTACAAATGGAAACTGGAGGCAGACAGAGGTTTGAGAATCAAAGAAAAATCAGTGGAGAACTTAAAGGAGGAATTCGAAAGGCTCAGATGCGAAGAAAGCCAACTAGAGAGCGCCAGACGACGAGAAATGGATTATAAAAAGGACACATATAAGCCTCTGTGGCGAGGCACATCAGTCATTAATCTAGCCAACATTCTATCGGAAAAGCGAAGCCAATCTGAGGGACGCGTAAAATCGACCAGACAGAAATTTTTGGATCACGACCATCCACTAAGTCATGGAATTGGCTCCAGAATATGGAGCAGCTTATCCATGGAGCAAGTAAATAACCTTAAAAAGCAACTGCAAGACATTTATGGAGATGAAGTAGCTCCATCTGAGGACAGTTGTTCCAAAGACTATGCAGTGGAAGTTTCTAGGCAAGTTGAAAAAACGTACATCCCCCATTTAACAGTCAGGAGGAACTCTGACAGTTCCAAGCACGACTTAATGAGCGAAGATGAGAAAAAGACTATTTCGCATACTTTAAGCAAGGAAGTGTTGGAGAAAATTGCCAACAGGCGCAAAGAGGATAAGCTGGCGCTTCCTTTGATCAAAGGAAAAGAAATGATGGGCGCCATTGCAACCCAAGAAGCACATGTCAAGACCATAGCAAGAGAAGCTGTAAAGCCTTTGGCAAAACCCATTGAAACTGTGGTTACGAAGCAAAACTCAATCAGTGAAACTGAATCTGCCAGTACCGATGACTCTGCGCAGACTGTTATTAACTTGCAGGACGTCCAGAAAAAAGTGGAGTATTTTGAGAAAGCCAAAGACATAGAAACTTATGTGCCTACTGTCTATAGGCCTGCTGAAGATGGCAGTGAGGAACCAAACAGTCCGCCTGAAGAAAATAAACCTGCAGAACAAGACAGTACACCCAAAACAATACACCAATCAAAGTCGTGTCAAAGCCTTAAGGAGTTTTTTGGTCAAACCGAGCTGGTAAAGTTCGCAACTTTGCCTCTGGCAGCCACCAGGAAATCTGAATACAAATACACGAAAAAGTCTCGCTTAAGAGCTCTGGACATTAGCCCGATTCGAACGATTTCAGAGGCTAACTCCATAGATAGTCTCAGTAGAAGTCGCTCAGCCTCTCCCTACTACGAAGAAGCTCAGGCATTGGCGAGAAAAGGCGAGGTGAGAAAATTACGGAAGCAATTCGAGTTTTTCGAAGACTTCTTCGGCGAGAAGAAGTTGAAGAGATCTCGCAGTGAAAACGACTTGAAAGTATACGGGCATGTGGAGGATTTGCGCAAAAAATACGAGTACCCAATTTATTCAGGGCGTGGCCGTTCTCGAGTTAAAAGAGGGGGGATGGTATCCCCAGTTTGGTTAAAGGCAGAAGACCGATATATGCCCCATATTAATATTATCAGTAAAATTGCTAGTTTGTACTCATTTTCCAAACATAAAACTGATAAAGAAGCGAGCAAGAGTATGGAAGAGTTGGCTGAAATTCTTGGATGTCCAGTGGGCGAGGTCAGTACTTAAAGATCAAAATTCCGTATCTTGACTAGGGTGCACCAAGAAATTACATTTTCCTTACTTTTCGTTGCAAGAACATACTTTAACCAAATGGTCCAGCAACAAGTTGTTGGACGATTGCAAGAAGGCGCGTTTCCCATTTTCCTGTGCGAAGAACCTCTACATTTCTTTTAGCTAGTTTCCTCAAAATTCAACTGCAACTTCACACCCTACCTCCTTTTCTCAACCAGTATTTACTTCCTATCCTTGAATAGTCAAAAAGAACTGAGTCTTCGACACCCTGCACAATATTATAATAATCCAAATAATGTATTTATAACACAAAAATTAATGGATAATAGGTGGAACGAATGAAAGAAAAATTCGACAAAATTCGTGAACATGAGGATGAAATTTCCTTGATGGGTCACATGTACACTTCATCTCCGAACCTAAAAGAGCTGAGAGACATCACTCCTTATCTTACGGCCAATTGGATAGCCCATAGATATCCGCGTTCGGAAGACAACACGCGATCTTTATCTTCACCGGAAGCGTCAATGGCCTCAAGAGACACTTCCCTGGTGCGAAAGGACCGATATAGACCAAATAGCTCTTCACCATTTAGAAAAGCGGTACCACAATCGATTTTGAAGCCAATGGGAGAAAAGAGGAGTGAAAGGTTCGAGACTTCTTCAAGGTATTCTAAAGGTGGGGTATTCTGGCCAGTCTCTTACATTTCAAGGTGGCAAAGAGCAAGATATTTGAGCACTGGTATTGGGAGTATTGTAGATGAGCACTTTAGTAAGGAGTATCAGTTAGAAGACGCTCAAAGCACCAAACATAACAAAGCGAGGGCACTTGAGGAAACTTGGGTACTCCGTAGCTTACAGCAGCAGTATCTTTGATAAAATTTTGAAGAAATTATAACCAAGGCGGCACAAAAACATGATCATTTCGACTATACAAAAACACACTGCATGAACAGCGCTTCGCAACGTTTGTTAGTTAGAAAATCTGGCAATGTTTCGCAGTCAAAAGTGTTCGTAGTCAATGCTTAAAAGTGTTAAGTTTCTCGGGTTTTTAGGCGGTCGTGGAAGAGCATTTCTTCCTGCCGTTTCGCAAGCACGAGAAGCTTACTTCTTTAGAGGTGATTTGCTCGAACTGACTTGGAGGTTTTGAGCACAACAAACAAAAAATATTGTCTAAAACTGTCTAAAAACCCGAAAAACTCACCAGTTTCAATGTTTTGAAAATTTATAAGTTCTGAAAGAATGTTCAATATTACATTTCACCTATAGGTCTAAATCCAATTTTGGAGAAAAACGAATTCGATTTTCTTCAATTTGTCTCTAACGTGCATCGAAAAACGCATTAGGAGCAGGAATCTTTCGCTTCATTATAATTTTATGAATTTGGATTCAATTCCCATTTTTGCTCTTTGTTTCTTTTCTGAGGCTCTTCTATTAATTGATTGTTGTAAACTGTTTATGCTTGTATCTTAATCAATGACAGCTTGGTATGAAAAAGTTGTATTATGTGTTTGTAACTGATGCACTGGGAGTACTAAACCCTGGCCAAATAAGATTAAGATGGAAATTTTTGTTGACGCTCGGTTTAAAAAGGTTGAGAAGTAAAATCTCTGAACACAAATTTCCGTTTTGAGGCAAAATTTTCAATCAGAGACGATTTTTTTGACCAAATATTTGCCAGATTTTTTATATTTCTGATTCCGATTCTTGTGAATTAGTTTGTAATTTTCAATTAGAGCCAGATTTACCCCCACCACCGCCACCACCAAAAAGTCAGGGCGCAGTAAGGAGCCAAGAACCAGGTAACATAATCATAGAAATATTCTATTATAACATATTCGGCTGCTTAAGTATGGGCGAAAATACCAGTTAAATCGAATGTTTTTATCCCCAAATCCATTTGTATATTCCTACCGGAATATTTTGCCATTCCAAATAATTAAACCCAAACTAAATTAACTTAGCTTTGGCTGATTTATTTGCCCATACTTTGTCTAATGAATATGTTGGTGCCTTTAATAATGGCCTATAAAGACACCCCTTATTACTTTCCTGGTTTATGTGTACAAACTTATCGATTGCCTGAATGAACTTAGCAAAAATGATCGATATGACCTAAGTCAGACCTATAAATCCGAGCTGTCTGTACCATGCCGTGATAAACATCAGGAAAAACGTAGGAAAAGCTAAGTTTAGATTTTTATACGATTTTTTCAACATAAACGAATCGTTCCCGTTAGTCAGACTTTGCATAATAAGCAGCGAAAAAGTGGGTTGGTTTGTGCGATTATTTTACAGGTAGGTAAGTTATCAATCAGAATTTATATTAAACAATCTTCTTACAAAATTGGGAGAACCTAAGACCATTAGAATTGCCCACTAGTAATTCAAACCGATTTTGCAATTTTCAAAGTGTGGAAATATGTTCAAAAATCGACAATCCTCCCTTAAAATATCAGGTTTTTATTGCATCTGATTAAATTATTTCCGCTCTAGATAGATGCATAATGTTCGACATTTTCGAGCTAGAAGGCTTTATAGTCAAGTAAAGTGTATTTGCTCAATTATTTTTTATGTGAGTTAAGCTCCTTTTCTTAACAATTAAATAGTATAAATTTCTTAAGTTAATTTCATAATAAAAATTCTAAAAATACCTTCTTCCAGCTATCTGCAAAATCAAAGTAAATTCGCCAGAGTGCACGCAAAAATGCTTATTTACATTTGTGTAATATTTTTCGTAAATACCGCTCGGGCTAGAATAAAAACTAACCAGATATTTTTTCATTATAAACAACAAGCATCCATGAAATTTATCGGTAATTTATAGCATTCGCCTCGCCATACTAATTCAAAAAAAATTAAAACACTGCAGTAAAAGATTTTCACATTAAACCGAGTAATCTGTCGATTGTTTTATATGCCGCAAACACGTTTTTTAATGATACCGCCACAAAAAAACTAAGCTCTTCATTTCACCCGCCCACACTAAAAGGATTGAATTTCAGATAATATTACCATAATCAGGCAAGATCATCTTTTATTAATAAAGCATTGTGTTGATCTTTGCACGCCTTAAGAATACACAATGCGATCTCGAATATTATAGCACACATACGAACTTGGCTTTAAAAAAATTGAATTCCTTGTAAGGTTAGTCATATTTCAACAAGTTTCGAGTCGACAACGCGAAGTGATTTTGTTTAACGGTTTGTTGTTTATTTTTAAGTGTTGTCACAGTGCTTAGACAATCGAAGATTTTATAATATATTTGTTAATCTTAATTGTTGGAACGGATTTTATGGTTGTTTAATCGGTTTAAATACAGCAGTGTTAAACTAGTCGAAAATAGCATACATGGTCCTTGACAGGAATATTTATTTCTGCAAATAAAAAATTGTTTTATAAATCAAGTACAGTTGAGGTCCTCTTTATTCCGTATGTATTTTTTGGCTCGCGCAATGTTTCTTGATGGTTAAACAAAAGAAATGAGCATGTTTAATAGTTCCATTCTACAAGTAGCGGTTTTTTACAAGATTCTTAACTTAATACAATGATTTGGCTTATGATTTTCGGGATACTTAAAATTTGATTTCGCATCAAATATAAAAGCTATTTTAGCTCTAGTACTAATTTATCGAGGAATTTTGCACAAATTCTATTTGTTTAAAACTGTTTTTAATAATAAAACACATTAACATGCCAGAGTTAATAGCTGGAGCTTAACTTTGACCTTTCTTCTCATAAATTAAAACTGATAAAAAAATATTATTAAACCTTAGAAAATGATGCAGTTTGTCTGATGCAGATAATCTGCTACTCACAATACCCAGAACAAAGGAAATCTAAAACTTTCAATGTTTCACTATTACCTAATTTTCGGTTTAAAACACATTCTCAAACAAATGCGTTCAAATGGCAATTGTATGTTATTGTACGTCGTAAGTAATGTGTCTGCTTATTGACTCGAATCGTGTATCAACACTTTAAAATAGAGTTTTTGCGTGAATTTTTTATTTTTATTCCATTCCCTAGCAAATGAATCTTCAGGAATCTAAGGAATAATGGTTCCGACAATACATCCCTAATTGTTTCCGTTATTTATCAATTATCAATAATACCTACATGCGTAATAAAAACCGCAAATCGTAAGCAATTTTCACCTGCGATCCGTTTTTTTAACGCTAGACCAAGATGAAAAGCTTGTCGCTTTGACTGGACTGTTAAAAAAAATCGCAAAACAATCGATTTCATGGATAAAGCTAATCCGTTTATCTGATAAATTTTTAACACTGCCGCAGATTAGTTTAGTGGAGATTGTTAAAAGTGATGATACGGTGTGGGAACAGTTCACGTTTAGTGTATGTACTCTAATTGATGTTTGGTGAGAGTGGACAAAGACAGGGGAACGAAATGAATACCATGCAGACGTCCTTCCTGCGGAACAAATCAGCAGAGCAAGAAGCTCGCAAAAAGAATCTGACTTCGTATAGAAACACCATATCAAATTTTCCGCTGATTTACGGGCCAATACCTTACAGTAGGTTTTGCTGAGTATTTATAGAAAATTGAAAACATGTCTTTCAAATGCCAACTAACTTGTTTTAAATTGTTTAAGAAATACACTTTTTTATAAAGTTATAAAATTATGAAACCTCAAATCCTCTAATACGTTTTTCTTCAGAAAATTAAAATGATTTAGAATCCTTTTGGACATGAAACAAAGAAACGATTTTTTGCTTTTCATTATTTACTAAAATCTCTCATTCACTTTCACGATTTTTCTTGCTATGCAACTCAACGCATTGAGAGGAAAACGCGAGGAAGAAAATGAACATTGTCTTCCTCTGTCCGCTAGACACATTTATACAAATTTATTCTTAAGTAAATCGGATGATTTATAAGAACGCCTTTATCCTATTTTTTCGCTCACGTTCCAGATTTAATAATATTCCTACAATTGTAGATAAGTAATGCAAATTATTGCTGCAAATCAATTCATATATCGGCAGGAAGTTAACTACAAGTCGGAAATCGATAATTATTAAATCTAGTGCTGGGAAAATTTCACAATTCCTGCTCTTATATGCGAAGAGATCATAATAGCAAAATAGTAAAAGTGAAACTGGTAAACGTTAAAAAAATTAATGAAATGTCGATACTGGTCGGTTGACAGAGCCTTAGGCCAACACTTTTACTATTCCACTTTACACTACTTTTGGTGTCTAAAATTAATAAAAAAAATTTAAAAAGTTTAATGTCAAAAATAGTCGTTCCGCAATACTGCTGACAAAATCAAAGGTAATTTCAGTTGAAAAAATATAATCACAGAATTTCATCAACGCTAAATTCCTCACAAATTAATTAGTGATTTTTAAACTGAAACTCTGAAAATTTTATGTAATAGCTACCGAAACCGAACATTTTCAGTGTTCCATTTAAGTTGCGGTAAAGTCGCAATAGAAAATTGCTTTTTAACGATCGGTAATCAGGCTATATTTATTTCAATGTTAATTCGCGTTACAATCTTATTACAGCGGAGTGGATTTCCTCACTTAAATATTTATTCTGTCGTCAGTGTACATTGTTATGGTGTGGTAGTCGGATAATCCACTATGAAAATTGCTTCAATCAATTCCGGCGAATTGTTTCAGTTGATCAGTGAGAATTAGTGAGTGAAAAACAGTCCAAGGTATCCCAAAGAAAATCATAAAGATCCAGAAAATTAGCAAGAATTTAATTGCCGTTGCGGTATCGTTAGTATTAGCTTATATAATATGTAAACTATCAGTTTAAGCATAAGAAACGTTCTAAATCAATGTATTCACCGTTTGATTTTCTAGCATCATTTCGACGCAAATTAACGCGAAATCATCGCAATCTCTTATTTCTTTAGATGTACTTATTTTCTAAATTTTGTAGCTTATGTAAGTAAATACATATTATTTTTAATTTGTTTATCTGTGATTTCTATTTTTGAATGAAATTTATATGCTTTTTTATTTTATTTTATAGTGGTGGTTTTTTATAAAATAGATGATTTTCCTTATAAAATAGTTCATTTATCCTATAGGGTAATAAAAATATCGATCCTATTGAAAAATTATCAATTTGCACCAAGTACTTTAAAGGTTATTTGATAGAAATCGATTTTTATCGGTGTCTCTTAAGAGTCTATATCTAGGTAGGTCTGTAGAACTTTTTATGTAGAATCTTGTCACGCAACATCATGTATATGGTCCTTTCCACAGTTTTTCCTTAAGTTGAGCAATTCAAAAATAGTTGAGTTGATCACGCTCGATGATAATTGCAGATTTCATTCGAAAACTGCCAGAGAAAAAAACCCGTTTTGTGAAAATATGCAATTTTGAGAAAAAATGGATTTAATTATCACCTTTTTACTCTGTACTGATAATTGCATAATCAATTAAAATTCACTCTTGATTGTCATTATAATATAACTTTATACAAACACAGGTGTCCACCGTATTAAAATGGCTGTACTTTTCTTACCCTTCAGCTAAATGCATTCTTCAACTGACTTAACATGTATTGCCCATCTGGCCTAGTGAAGTACTTCAGTTTCACTAATAATGGCTGTATTTCCATTATTTCGTACTAATTAAGCGAGAACGTCCAGTTACAGACTAAGAAAGCAGACAAAAAAGGAAAAGATGACGTTCTTACGTTAAGCAGATGTCGCAATAATTATTAATCTATCTCGTTTAATGGATGCATAAACCTACTTAAAGTTATTAGCAAATAAAGTGTTTGAATTTATAATAATTGCAGCGAAAGCAATGTTGGCTAGACGCAAAAATACAAGTTCGTTGAGTTTCGTACAAAACGAAACCATAAATTCCTGAAAAATAACTGGAAAATGTTTAGTTACTGTACAAGAATTGTCGCACATAGTTCACGATCATTTAAATTTCTCTGTTGTATACCTAGTGATTTAGCGAAACGTGACACAATTTTACAAGTCTACTACGTGTGTACATTTCAACAGGTGTATACTCATTTAAACAAATTTATGCGGCTGTCTCTTTCTCATAGCGATAGGCTATCTTACCATCAACATTTTTTCTTGTACTGAGTACCGACAACTTACGAGGGTTATCGGAAAAAACTGATAAAAATCAGAAATTCTCCATCCCAACAATGTTTACTGCTCATTTCTTGATTGATAGCTTCAAATTTCCTATTAACGCACTTTCTTTACTAAATCGAGTTAACTTTTAATTTTTATTGTATATTACAATATACCTAGTGTCGGGAGATGAGTTTAAAAATTCTATAATTAAGGGGTAATTCTACATAAAAACCTAATGTGTCAAGTTCATATAGAAGTTTTTGAAAATTGCATAAACCACGCAACTTATTTGGGGTCAGGGTCCTGAATGTAAATTTTTACAAGAATTATACAATTCTAACATTTAAAAAATGTTTAAGAAGAAGTACACTTTCTGTAAATGTGCTTCTATATGAATGATCAAAGAAGATGTACTTATTCCACCTCTCAAAAATAAGCCATTTCAGTCAGTTTCATCAATAACAGAGTATTTCCACAAAATTGAGAAATTTTCTCAACGAGAACTTGAAACTGACTTATTTTTGAAAGGTGGAACAAATACACTGTTTTTCTGTGTTTTGCTTTGTACACTGTTAGCGAAAAACAAAAAATACCAAAGTTATGGCTTTGTATTTCTACTAATGGCAATTTTAACCCTTTAGGAATAAGGCTTGAATGTAAAATTTTTATTGTTCATACAACTTTTTTTGCGTACAATTTTGCAATAAGTATGCCAAATTTGAAAACAATCTATAAACAATGAAAGCAGGTATTTCAGAAAAATAATTTAAAAAAATCTAAAATCAAGGCCCTTTTTTGAGAATTCGAAAAATTGCTGAAGCTTTATACATTCATTTCTATTGAAGAATCACTCCCAACATTTTTTTGCCAACATTTCCGGATACTCTATAAATTTTGGTAATATTGTCGTATTTTTCATAAAAAATATATTTTAGTGCTTCGTTGTTAAAAGTAAAAAAATCTATAAAAATTGAAATAAAACAAAAAACACAAATGTGTTGTAAATTGAAAATTTCATTATTACACCGCCCTTGTAGATAGATATCTTCATTAACATTTATTCAACGTTTGTTTATCCATCTCCTTTTACTCGATCTGTGTGAAGAAACGATATCGACGAATACACAAGGTGATAGTTGAAATAGGAATATTGGCGGGAAACTAACGCACATAAATGGTAAATTTCTTCAATTATTGTCAAGGTATGAGAGACACTTTCTTCAGTTGAGTAGCGGTGCGAAGAAAGTAAAGGATACTGTGCTATTTGTGGGTTTAAAGTAGAAGTGATATTTGCGGTGAAGTTGCCGGAAAAAATTGGTTTTTGCCGATAATGTTTAATGTTGCATTTGGTATGGTTAAGTGTTTGTAGAGCGTTTTAAAATTACAAATTTCTTACCATAAACTCAGGACTATTGCGTCTCGTTGCAAGCTAATGTTTTTAGTACATATTTTCGACTTTTGTCTCTAATTATTTTTAGTACCGTTGATTTTCATAATTTTTTTCTAGTTTTGATATAATAATCAGGTGCTTTAAAATTGTTTCCAAATGTTTAGGCAATACATTTCGAAATTTCAACTAAACCATTATTTTAAAATCAATCATTTTCACTGTTCGACTTAACGATAAAAATACTTTACTTTTGAAAAATGAGCCAGGCACATTCCAAGAATGGATGACAATACTGTTTAATTTGAAATTCAATGCTTTCAGGCTATTGAGTTCATGCAATCATGATGTCTTGATTGTTTGCAGATTTTTTCTATTTACGAACAGCCACTTACTTTCAGCTATAAGAACTTCTGAAGAAGAGAAAGCAATTTCAACAAAAGTTCCAAAGTCTGCTGAAGAAAAAATGATTATTGTTGGGGTATATGGAAATACGAGTATCAGAAAAAATACATCAAAACAATTATTTTTTTAAACATTCCAAACAGTAAAAGAGTAATTCCGCGTCTAATTAAATAACTGATTAACCAACGGGCACTGCAATCCCCATTATGCAAGAATTAACAGGTTGATTTGTTTGTTATTTACGCGTTAAAAAGTAATTAAATTTATTGAGTCATTCGACTTATGAACGATTAATCTATAATTTGCTAAATGCCTAAAGTATTTCACGTGCACACCAGCTTGATGGCTTATAGAAAAATTTTAAATGGTTATTAATTTAGATTCAACTGGATGGATTTGTATATCAACTTTAAACATTATTAAACATTTAATTGTTAAACAACAATTAGTGAAATCATGAGAAGTCTTCGCATATCTGATATATGTTTTCTTGTTCTGAGAATTCAAAAATAATTATCGTTTTATTTAAATTCAAGGGCAGGAGTTATTTCAAATACAATTATGAATATTTTAGATTTTTTCTCATGGTTAATATTGATATAGAATTTTGAAAAACAATATAATTTTGCATCCCAAAAATCCTCAACTCAAGTGTTAGAGTCAGGTTCAATAGCCCATGTTTTTTTTAAGAATCTCCAAGGAAATACGTCGAAAACGAAGTAACTATCCACTACAAGACACCAATTCGTACGGAAGTGAAGGACTATGTTTCGGAAGACGAGCTGGCCCATCGCCAGGCAGAAGCCATGAAAAAAATCTACGAAGAAGAAAAAAAGAGAAAGTACTTCCAGGTTAGCAACGACCTACAAGTAAGTTTCGTTTGATCGGCCGGATTCCAGCCTGGTGTGTTTGTTTGCAAGGCGACGCTCTTCATCGATACTTATTAATGCTAAATAACTTTGAAATTGCAGTTTTATTGTGGTTTTAAAAACGTGCTTTTAATGCTTTAAAATGCTGCTTTAGATCATTCAAAAGTTGTCCATCTAAAATGACTTGTTAATTGCAATTTTTTAAGAGGCCAATTTGGAAATTCTACCGGAAGTTTGTGAAAATACTAACATTAATATCTACCCGATTTTAAATACTGAACTTGTTTACTAAATTTACTTGGGTTTTTCCTAAACAGATTTTTATATGTGGAATATAAGTAAAATTTAAATATATATTGTCATAAATAAAAAAAACTTCTGAGTACAGGAATGTTAGTGCTTTGTGTGAATTTAAAAAGCTTCTAACATAAGTGTGCTATTTTGACTGTTTTTTCAATTGTCGATATACGGTAGTCCAAACTGAATTTCTCAACTATTAATAGGCTTGTAATTCCCTCTATTTCATATTGTTTTAAAAGAATTACTTACTACAATTTTAATGAAAAACTGACTACGAAATACACAAAATATAAACACACCTAGTTAAATCCAGTTTCTATCGAACGAAACTTCACTTGGACATGGACTTTTCCATGTTTATTTTGTTATTAATATTATTATTAATACAATTAAGACATTTTGCTATTTTCAGGAAATTCAAGATATGAAATCCAGGAGGCACACGGACAACTTTATCCCGTCCCAGAAATCTCCCATTTCTCTTAACCGATATGACGACTTCGACGATCTTACTAGTCCGACCAAAACGCGAACGAAGTAAGAACTTTCAGAAATTATTTAAACAATTTGAACAAATTAATGTACAGTATGTTAAAAGGGCCGTGGGCAAGCGCAGCACAGTAATAATAAACGTGCGCTTAATATAAGTTTGATAACATAGTTAAACCTCATTTTTGTGTTTTCTATGTCGTCCGATTTTCCTAAACTATCTCATATATCACTCTCTTTGCCAAGTTTTTGAAAAAGAACAATTCTTTTACCGGAGCATAGCAAAATGAAATTAAAATTTAAAAAATTAAATTAACAAAAAACTAAAATTAAAAAAGAAATTTGCTTATGAAACAAATATCACCAATGGTATTAAATGAAAATTTAATAAATCACTAGGCCATAGGAGCGGTTGAAGCCGGTAAAAACAGTTGTATTGGCAAAACGTCAGGAAGATATTCTTATCCACCACGGTCTAAAAGCACCAAGAACTCACCAGCTTATTAGCGATTTTTTATGAAACGATTCAGTTAGTTTAGTGAATGTTTTAAGATATAAAAAGAAATCTAGATACGAAAGAACTTCCACAATTTTAAAGATGTTCACCGTGTTTAGAAGCTGGTAGATACTACTGCTAGAAAAATTCAATCGATTTACCTAACAATTGTTTTATACAAAGTGTTATTTTTATATGCATATTCATAACATTTTGCATCAAAAGTATGTTAGCTGCGTTTTTAATATTATTTTCTTGGTTTTGTACGTTTGCTTACGTAATAATTTAAACTTTCCTATTTTTATAGAAGAACATGAATTTATTTTAATTTTAAACAGGGATTAAGTAATTTTACAAAAAAACTACAGCAAATTTGAATTAAAGAAGCAACAGTAGATTAATTTAAATGAAATTGAAAGTTATTTTTTTGTTTTTTGTTTAGATCACCTGAACCGAGATTAGTGGCCAAAGCTCTTTATAATTTTGTTGGTCAAACAGCCAGAGAGCTCACGTTTCGAAAAGGCGAACTCATCTATGTTAGAAGACAAATAGACAAAAACTGGTACGAAGGTGAATTGAACGCTATGGTCGGACTGTTTCCTGTTAATTACGTTGAGGTAAGAAAAATAAAATAAAGTACAGTATTATTCAAAATTGATAATGATTGTGCAAGGGTTTTTATGCAATTTTGGTTATTTCTGTTCATGTTATTGAAGCTGATTCATCAAATCGATTCATAGAAATGGCACAAAAATTGATAAATCGCATTAATTCATCAATTAACGATGAGAAAGCTTTTTCTAATATAGTAAAAGATCGTAATGCGCCCGAAGTACTTAAAAGTCGATCTTAAAGTGTATCACATTCCGATATGGGTCACAGACAGATATGGGTCAAGTTTAGTTCAGCATGTGTTATCAAAAGCTTAAAGTTATTATAGAACCGCTAAGCGATAATTGTTATTGCACTTGTTTTTCAAAAAAGAATCAATATTTCTTAATTGTTCATATATCAAATTCTTCAAAATATGTTTACATGCAAGAAATATATTGAATTCTAATATGATGCAAGAATAGTATCACCTCTGAAGAAGTCCTCCAGAATGAGTAATAAAAACAACAAAAACATACAGTGAATTACCTTAAAATAAAACCGAAAAGCTCTTAATGGAAATTTAAATACACAGCCGCGTCCATTCAAAATGTTTTAAGGTGATTCTTTAAAATCTCTACAGTTTGGTGCATTACTAGGATGAAACTGTCTCAAACTAAAAGGGCTTTGTTTGCGGAATAAACACTTTATTAATTCAGACACATATATATATACAAAATATATATGTGTCTGAATACTATCTATATACACAAAATATAAACACACTTTTTTGATGCACCCAATTCTTGAAAATTAACAGCTCATTTCACTAGTTAGGAACAATTGATGTATGTTTCGTTAAATAATTAAATTTATTTGTTCTAGATCGTCCCATCTGAAGTAACCACAAAAATCTCCACCATCACACCCAGGAAAGCACACGAAGGCCAAGCCAGAGCTAAGTACAACTTTGTAGCCCAAACCCACTTAGAATTATCGCTAGCTAAGGGGGAATTGGTGACCCTCACAAGGAAAGTGGACGACAATTGGTTCGAAGGGAAAATCGGAGGTCGCAAGGGCATCTTTCCCGTATCATATGTTGATGTAAGCAATGATGCAAAGAAAAATGTGGAGTTTCAAGTCAAATTTGGGCTTTAGGTTCTCATAGATCCAAGTGATCCGCCTCCACCAAGCACCAAACCAGTGGCTTCGCCAGCTGCCCATTCATTGTTACTGAACGGATCGTCTCAGGGCAAAGAGTCAATGGGTAAGAAGTGAATTATTATCTAGTTGTTAATCGTAAAAATTGCATTTTTAATCTAATCTAGGAAGTCACCTCTACACTCCCAATGTCCCCAACCCGATAACTAGTAGGGATAACGGATATCATCATGCCAAACCAGTTCAAATATCCGGAACTGGCACCTATTCAACATTGCCAAAAACTAATAAAAGTCCAATAAGCCAAGCCCTTCATATAGAAACGCAATCTGACCCGATACCGTGAGTTTTGCTTGACAAGGGAATTGATAAACTTATTGATGTTTCCTATTTTCGAAACAGATATCGAGCCCTTTATAAATACACCCCACAAAACGATGATGAATTGGAATTGCTAGAAGGTGACACAGTCTATGTGCTCGAAAAGTGTGATGATGGATGGTACGTTGGCTCAAGCCACAGAACAGGAGCTTTCGGTACTTTCCCGGGAAATTACGTGGAGAAAATATAGCACAAAATTTATTACTTAGGTAGAATTTAAAAGCGATTCATTTGCTACAGAGTTTGAATTGATTTACTGACGACTGACATCAATTTACTTCAAGCATCCTTAAAACGCGTTATGTGAAATGGTAGATTTCGACCAGAAAGAAACTCTATACATGAAACATGACCAAGCTAACAATAAAACCATTGCCAATATAGCAGCGCTGAAAAAACGTCCATAAGTAACACTACAACGACCGCTTTCAGTTTGCTAAATTAATATGAAACCCCCGTTGTATAGCAATAAAAGTAGTGTACTTAAAGTGCATATAAAACTAGTTCGGCGTAACATTTAAATCATCCGTAGGTAGGTACCTACTAATTTCGAGTTTATGGTAGAGCTAATGTAAACAAAACTTAGCAAAATACTGCAAGTCTAGTCAACTATACCCCAAATTGTAGAGTTATATTATAGCGACACCAAAAGTAGCCGCAAATACGTCTACTAATGTTTTATTTATATTTATAATGTAGATTTATAAAGGAGTATATTTATATACAAGTGTAAAGTAAGGAAAACGTTCTTCCATTTTAAATTGGGTATTTCCAAAAACAATCCTAATATCCCTAATTATCCCATATTTTGCATAAAATCGCAACTTTGTTTATTAGCTTTTAGAAATGCTGGAAGAGTTTGTTGTTCATTTTTCATTTAATGGTTTCCAGAACTACATAGAAAAATCACAGGCAAAGACTTATTTATTATAGGAGAGTGCCTTTAAGAAATACAATACATTTATTAACACCCGATAGCTTTTGAACAAGTAGATGTACCTAATTTTTCAAATATTGTTGTTATTTAGTTTTATACTAATATTATTAGATATTTTTCATATAGAGATGCAAGAATGTCATGTTTAATTATTATTACATCTAGAATTAAAATCTACGTCTTGAAACCGAAGTATTCAAATGGAAACTGGATTCAAAACAGATTTGGACGTAGTATATTTACGTGTTTGATTTTTTTGTTTGTTAATTTTATGAATGACTTGTAGAGTTGTATGATATTTGTTTTAATAAAAAATTAATGCTGAATTAGAGTAATATTTGTTTTCCTAAGTTGGGTTAATTTGGGTTGTATAATAGATATTGAATTATAAACGATTTTCCGACAATTAATTTCCTTAATTTGTCGGATATTTTTTTAATGTTGATAGATAAAAAACAAAATATATTTTAAAACGCTCAAGTGTTTGCACTTGCCTGCATACGTTTTACTTTCAATTGTAGCTATTTGGTTATAAATGTTGATTAATAAATGACCTACTAAATACTTTTCCCGACCTTGCAAGGTCTCGTTTTTTCCAGAAATGCGCTAGATTGATTGGTTCATTTTTTTAAGTACTTCTTAAACTAATTTTTTTTTAAATACATCATTCTAGATATTAAAAATATTAGGTATATATTTTTAATTTGTGAAAACCAAATTAGTCAGCCACTTGCCTATTTTTTTTATTTTAAAAAATCTGGCAATAGTTTTTGCTATCGATAATAAATTAACAAATCATCATCTGAAACGACTCACTCGAATAAGAAACATTTCTCATGTACCCCAAATTGTAACATGTATTATTGAACCTTAAATTACAAAATTGTAACAGATAAAAGGTTGTTTTTTTTTCTTCAAGAGTTTTTCAAACGCATCGCTTTCCTTAGAAACAGTAGTTTTGATACACCAATTTGGATTTGAAGCAAGTCAGTGGAGCAATCGGTTCAACGATATTAGACGAAACGAAAACAATATATTGATAACAAATTCTATGGGCTACAAATAGGAAGAAATAAATCCTAAATAGGTAAACGTAAACCTCATGTGCATTCATTAGAAATGTTTTAGTTATATTCCTAACTATTTTCTTCATTTATTTGCTCAGAAATCTTTATTTTTCTTACTTAGTTCAACTTTATACGAGCGAAGAGACAAGCTGAATCTATTTGCAGAATTGCCAAAAACATATTGGGATTTCACAACTCTGGGTATGTACACACATGATGTAAGAGTCAAGGAATGATACAATTTACTTAAATAAGGATAATGAAATGACTTGCAAAATCAACAAGTTATTAAGTTTAGACCAAGAGTATGGCCAAGAAAACGGTTTTTTAAAAAACCCTTTTTCATATTTAATAGTGTTTAATTAAAGAATTGTGAAAAATGTTTAAAGATAGAAAGTTTCCCAAAAGTAGGAAAAATTACGTTTTGTCACCACATAATTAGCATAAGCCAACAAGAATAGTTTATTGTCCAATAAAAATTTCCAACTAGTGCTCAAATTAGATTCTCACCTGAAGCTCGCATAATCGGCTATAAGGAACAAATTACCACTGTTAATTGAGTAATAACTCTTGCAAATGTCCTTTTCCGCACCACAGGCATCCCAAATTGAATAAAATAAAATTTATTGTAATTTCGCTCACACGCACTATACGCTCATCTTCACTACCACTACTCATATTCCTTACTGAAGTTTGGTAAAAAACGACCCTTTGAATACTTGTTTGTTTATATTTAAGAGTAAAAAACTGTTTACTTTAACCGAAACCGGGCGAACGAGTAGCCCGGACATTTCTTCGATGTTATAATCGCGCAAAAGAAAACCCATTTAAAATAGCCAATTTAACTTTAGCAAAAAGTATTTACATGAAAACAATGTTTCGCTGAATGTAAAAGCCAACTAAAAAATACATTAGTAGGTTTCTATTGCGTTTCCTTATTCTCTATTTTTTTTTCAAATTATTTGTAGATTTAGATAATTCCGTGCACCTTTCAATTAATGCAAATGTTTGTAATCTTTAACGAATCAACAAAGTGATTAGCAAACATTTACATGTTAATTACTAAACAGAATTCGAAGACAATAAGCCAATATAGGAATTTTTTCCTCTGTATTACAGGATAAAAGTATCCACGTGTCTTCTGTTACAATGCCTCTTGAGCATAACACTTAAGTCCATTGATAAATACGATAAAATCAGCAGCTCCTTTGAAAATGCAGAAGCAGATATTTTTCTCGGGGGTCAAGGTAGATGTTACATAAATTTACATGTGCGCTATTGAACAAATGGAGAAGTTCTTGGCAGCAAAAAAAATCGAATTTTTATTATTATCAATATTATCAATTATTATCAAATAAAAAAACCCATGTGAAGCCGCCTCAAAGCTTGGACCAGCTCCAAATGTATATATTCTTGTTTTCGATTGAGATTTATTTCGCTTTTTAGTCAGATAAGGATAATGTCAGACTATAAAGTTGATATTTCAGGAGGACACTGACCAATCGTTCGAGCTTGGTCGATACGCAGCTTTTAATTTGTATAAAAAGTTCTTTTTTGGTTGAAAGTGTAAAGTGATAAAAAATTGCGTGATTCCGTGAATCGTTAGTAATAGTAAGTGCCGAAGAATTAATTATTATTTTTAGATGGATAGTTAATAGATAGTTTGTGAGTGTTCATTCCATTTTACATTGGGTAACATCTGGGTAACTTCTCATCAAAACTACGCTTTCCTAATTTGTTTTTAATAATTTCAACTCATATTCTCGCAGTTTCCAAATTTTTATATTTTTTGTTACGGTTTCTTCAAAAGTTTTTTTTGAAGAACTGACTTTATATTTTTGTTTTCGCTGGGTCACCTTCTCCCTGCTTTCGAACCCTTTAGTCCTCATCAGTTTCGCTTAACTTGCAAATGACCCAGTCGCCATGGTCTTTAAATATACAAAACAGTATATTTTGCCTTATTTCAAGTTAACAGGAAAATATACTCGTAGAAGGTTACTTAAACAACCTGCTCTTTTAATTTGCTTCTTACAGCAATTGATAAATATTTTAAACATGAACCATATTGCGTAATGCATTTTCGGAAAGGAACTAAATGATATTTCGCCAAATCATGCACGTCCCAAACAAACCACTGATAAGCTCTTATTCTTAGTTTTAAAAAAGGGTATCGCTGGTATTGTTATGAGAGCGATTCGATATGGTTACACATACACTTGGATAGTGCGAATTTACTTATACATCTGCATAGAGATGTTATTTTTTTAAATTTTCTGTAATAAATTGATTTTCATCTTCAAATAAGCTGAAACCTATTAAATTTATTAAGACAAATTGGAGCTGAAAATATTTTTACGAATATTCAAATTCAGATGACTAGTTGGACATTTGAATACCTATCGGTATTTTATAAATCAGCTTAATTTTAAAAACTCTTCTTTCCATCAGTTTTTTCATTGACACATTCAGAATAGTTTTAATTTATTTTCCATTTTACTCATATTCCATTTTCCAACTATCAATTAATGTACCTAACACATTATAATCTGCCAAGTAAACTATCCAGGGGAGATTATTCCGAGCCTAAAACCAATGAAATCGTTTAATCATGTACACGGACGACATTGCGTAATGTATTTTCAGATAGGAACTGGACTGAATGATATTTCGCCAAATCATGCCCGTCCCAAACAAACTACTGATAAGTTCTCCTTATGTTAAAATTATTACTGTGGATGTAATTGGAAAGGTTATCAGAGGTATTGTTATGGGAGCAATCAGTCATTTGACAATGAATAATAGTCTGAGATCATAAGAATTTATTTTTGTAATTCTTCCCCATAGTAAGCCGATAACAATAGCCTTCGCTAATCAAATCGATAGATTTATGGGAATGCGACAAGTATATCAAAATGTAATAATTAACAGTCTAATAAAAATTGATTTTAAGTTCTAAAATATTAATTGCCTTGCTTTTAAGACACGAAGGAACAATCTAGGGCACATTTTAAAGTCTAAGAAAGACAGACAAACTCGCAAATTAAATTACATAAATACAAAAATTTTTATTTTTATCAAAAATCGTTTCTTTGTTCAATTCAACTCCTAAGTTTTATAAGAAATTATGTATGTAAATTTTTGTTTTTTTGTGATATTTGATGATCGCTTATATGGACGAAGGTAGTAACGCTACCCTGACATAAAATTGAAGTAATTTTGACTAAACTTTTATCACTTTGATGTATTTCTAACAATATTTACAGCATTATAAATAAAAACGCATACAAAACCAATTGGCACTGGTTGATCCCCAAAACGACCACATAATGTATTTTTGTTTTAGTTTCTACACTTTAGCCTTAACATTTGCTTAAAGCAAGTTTCACCCAAATGGAATTTTCATGTGTTGAGCGTAAATCTACTAAACAAACCTAATCAAATGCTTCTTTACCAGTTTCAGCATATTAGCATCGTATTGCGTCATATCGCTTACAAAACTGGTTCGCAGATAACGCAATGTTACAATAGTGAAAATTTAGTCTAAAAACTGCTAGGTATTCCTTTTTTTCTATTGCATATAAATGCAAAGCCATTGCAGCTAATTGTCTACCAATAATCATTATCAGTTCATCGACAAAATGTTTTCGATCTATAGAGGGGGCGTCCATGAAGAATGTGCCAATGTTATGTTTAGTAGAAATATTTCTTTAAAAAATTTCCGTTTTAAATGTAAATAGTCAACGGCTCATCTCTCTATACAAATGCCAACTTACATTTTTTATTGAGCGCAACATGCACTGTACCCATATGGTTAAACAATCAAATGACGCATTTAAAAGCGTAATCATTAAGGCTGCATTTGCAATCCCAAGAAAAACAGGTATTGCTTTGGATAATAAAAAATTTGCATCAAATTGTGTTAAACAATTAGTGGGATAAAGGTCTCAGTTTTTGCTCTTTTTCTCTCACTATAAGTTATGAAATTATGTTTTCGGTTTTAATAAAAACCGAAATAAACATACAAATTTTCAAATAATCATATTGTCAGGCTTTGTTCAATCTGGTTGAAAAAATAAATCAATCATTCAATTCAATCTTGTTGAAAATAATCATAAATATTGATAATAGGATGCAATGGACATTCATGGCTTTGTCGAAAATTATATTTATATGTATTTTTTAATTATTTAATTATTATTAATACAGTATAACCTCTGTAATCCGAACACTAATTATTGCAACGGAAAATTCGGATTTTCGAATGGTTGAGATTAACAAAGATTTTTTTTAAATATTACTATAATACTGCAAAGTTGATTAATTAAATTTAAAATTTCTTAGATAAAAGATACGCATACATAACTACAAGAATACAGAATAACTGTGTAAATAAAATGACTTAATTCGTCGTCGACTAAGTCGATGTAAAACGATTAGTGATTTTAGTTGGTTTAGCATATTTTGCTCTGCCTTAAAAGCCCATTTTTTCATATCTGGTCCTAACGTCTTCGTCCGTTTCTTCAGATCTAGAGCGTAATTAATCATGAACATGTTTTCTTAACCGGCTGCCCAATTAATAACCTCCTCATGTGTAAAATGTCGTGAAACTTGGTTTAACAATCGAGTAACATCCGTTACTTTTTGTCGATGCCTTCTAATGTTTCTCTATGCTTCCACGCAGATGGAAGGTCTTTCCCAACCCAACCATCAACTTCATGACTTCTATATCAGTTCTGATAGCACATTTTCCCAAGCCTTAGCGAGTTCAATCATAACATATTTAAGATTATTTTTTTATTTCGGCAAATATATCCTCACTTTCGGAAGCTACTCCGCTTATAGCGGAGCGTTTTAAGAGGCATTTTCTGTAGTGCAACTTATGCGCTCGAATCACATTTTGATTCATGGATTGCACTAATCGGCATTACATTAGGTGGCAAAATTATTGCAACAATTTCTTTGTTATACGTTGCTGCTATGAGAGAGTATTTGCATGTAAATTCAGCTCTCTAATTTTTGTTTTTCTAACTGCAGGGACCAAATCTGTGTAGAAGCATTTAAAAAATACATTTTTGGTGACCTATGCGTTCTTCGGTTCTTGGTCAGCCATCGACGACTCTTTTCCGAACGAAGCTTTCCAGATCTGCCTAACACAAACAATTTCATTTTATGAGTTCCAGAGGCGTTTGAACAAAACATAAATGTATTTTCCCTCTGCTCATTTTTCTACTTTTCTACTAATTGATCAGCAAGTGTCGTTTGAGTGAGTAATTTCCAAAAAATGCTCATTTGGCCTGCGTTATATATTTCTGTAACAACTGAACAATTTCCTGAACTTAGTTTCGAAGCAGTTCTTTGAAAGGTTCTTCAGCTCCTTCAACGATGGATAATTTTTTCAGAAGAAGAATATCTTATCGGTTTTTTAATTTATTGAGCCATCCAGCACTCGCTTTAAAATTTATGTTATCGTAAGTTTGATTTAGTATAAGAATCGGGCTTTTTTCTTTCAAATGTTTTCTCACATTGGAGGTCAAACATTTTGAAAGTGAGGGATGTGCCCCAACCCGCACTGTTCCGATTATTGGAAGTTCGGAAGGGTCTTTACTCCTTTACTGTATTAAATATTGCATTTGTATACCACACCCGATTGCCACATTTTACATGGACACAATTTCCATTTATGTGAAAAGAAACATTAATCAACGTTATGATAAGTGCATGTTGACATGTGCCCTTATCTGAAATACATACTTAAAATTATAATTTGGGATATTTTACCAGTAGAAGCAGGATATCCGAGAATACTACGAGATTAGCCGGTATTCCAAAACCCAGTGGCGGTTCCAGCTTTATTTTCCCCTTGGGCGAATGCCGGCAAATATTCATTTTTAAAAAGCACTTATAACGACGATGTTTTTGTCAAACAAGGAGCTAACAGAGTTAGACAATATCTTCAATGTCTCCAATATGAATTTACAATACAAATGTTATACGAGATTTTATCTACTTTTGAAAAATAACGAATTAAATGTAACAAAAATATATTTCACAACTGTATATATTTTTATATGTGAATATAAACATTATTATGTTGGAAACAAATTCTGAATGAAATTCGCTACAACACTAGTATTGCAATAAAAACTATTATAAGCAAATCTATTTTTTGAAATGAATAATTCCTTTTACTAAACGAAAGTAGATTTAAAATATTTAAATTTACGAATAACATTATAAACATTGAATAAAACTTTAATAAGGTAGTGAAATAATTCAATAGTGAAATAATTATTCACGCAGAACATTAGAAGAGGCATTCTTTTATTATTATGCTTAGCAGCAAAGGAATCTATAATTAACTCTAAATCTATTTTTTTGCAATATCTTTTTCAACAAACAAAATGCCCAAGTCAGTAAGATTTCCGGACTCATAGTTGCTCTTAAATAATGTTTACTTCTCTTTAAAGTGCTGAAAGATCTTCACAACTTGCACCACAAGATGGTACAGTCATTGTAAAATTACATAGTTTATTCATTTGATGAAAGACTATTTTAGAAAGTTTATTTTTAGAGTATTTGTGACTTCATACCTCTTAGTGGTATTTGGCAATGTCTGTCTCGTTTTCAATTCAAACTATATCACATTGGTAATGCTTAGCTAAAGAAATAAACGTTCTAAGTTTAAAAAATGGATTAAATGTACTAAATCATGTTTTCAAACCCAGTTTTTTTTTCTGTGGCCTTCAGTAACAAAACTTAAATTGCTCGTTCAACCTTGTTTGAAGAAGAATCTACAAAAGAAAACGGAATACAGCATCTTTGAGAATGCTGTACTTAATCCAAGGATACAAGACATAATAACTGGACTTAAAACTACGAAGATCAGTACCATACTGTTTTTTAGGAAAACTTGCTAAGACCAGCGGCCTTGAAAGTTCATGTAGCGATAGAGCCAAATCAATGATTTATTTTTCCTCTATATGAAAATCTTTGGCGGTTGTCCTAGCAGGAAACAAGTACCCATATTTAGATTAGAAAATAGTTTATTAATATTACCTACGTACTTAAAATTTTGCTTTCCAATTCCCGACAACTCGGAATGTTTTCACGTTCACTATCATTATTGTCAAATTTGATCCGATTTTTTTAAATTCGTAATTATTTATATCGCTATTAAAAGTGGTTGAGCGAGACAAATTTTGGTTGGGCGCTCGCTCATCCTCACAGACCTCTAGCGCCGCCACTGCCAAAACCCCAAAATTACATTAACCTATTAAAATTGGCACTATATTATCTAGAATTATCACTTTCGGACGTTGTTTTGATACACAACATTGCAGATACTAACGATATCATGCGCATACTTAGTATAGTATTGTAACTAAACATGTATTATTTGTAAAATATCACACAGCACGTGTGATCATTTATACACGCAATTAGGCAACCATTGATACGGTGGTCATGCTTTTACAGGCCAATATACCATATTAGGGGGCTAATATGTCATCAACAACCTGTAACCAAGTCATTTCACTTAAGTATATTAATTATTGTAGCGTAACATTGTCTTTACTACTGATGTACTTCTTGTTTCAGGTAGAAACGTTGGAATCGACCGTTTATTGTGCCGCTTTAAGTTGGCGCCGACGCCATTGCCAGCTAGACCACGTGACTTGCGGTTATAAAAACCAATTGGCGTCTTGCCTCGTTCTCTTTTCCCTTAGCGTAAGCGTAGCGGTGAAAAGTCGTCACGGTTTCCCGTTTAATTAAAAAAAATACTACTAAACTAATACAAATACGCGTGTTTCGCCATGCCTGATACAATTACCAATGGATACACAAACGGACACATGCCGTACGACATGGAAGATGGATCAAATTTTCTCTTCACCTCCGAATCTGTAGGAGAAGGCCATCCAGGTGAGTAAACGCGATACTCCACTGTTTACCATGGAATGATTGATTTTTCTCGAAGGATTTCGAAAAATCATAGAAAAGCCTACAACGCCATGTAAACGACAATATAACCCAACATTTATTTCGCAATGGAGCTATGCAAATTGGATGATGCAAATCACACGTGCTTTAAGCGATTCGGCTTTGGCCGGTTTTTTTTTTATTGACAACAAAATTGGTGTGGCTTATGTTGTTATTTTATTGTCGATTGCAATTTTAATAAGATGAAAGCTCGAACAAAGCCACAGTATGGCCGGTTTAGCACTTATCTGTTTTATAATAGGTTGATTTTATTTTTAGATAAAATGTGCGACCAGATAAGTGACGCCGTACTAGACGCTCATTTGAGACAGGATCCGAATGCTAAAGTTGCCTGTGGTAAGAATAGCGGTTTACAAAGCAAAAAGATGTGCAATCGCGCCAGAATTAAACTTACTGAAATGATAATTATAATGCTAATAAGTAAAATAAACTACTTCCAGTTTTTCATAAAAGTTTGACACTCGTTGTTATAAAGATCAACTTTTAGACGTCAATAGATAAGCCAAGTGTTTTATAGGCAACCCGCTTAATGGACGTATCTCTGTCCTTTGCTATGCCATTTTTGTAAACTTTCCAGCTGTTCAGTTGGCGGAAAAATGTAAAAATCCATGTTTCCTATTCAATGAAGCGCGGCTACAATTAATTTGGAATATGCTTCTGAGGTACCACAAGAAATAGAGCCAGTTAAATGAACAAGGTTTTCGCAGTTTTATTGGGCAACTTTTTCAGCCAGAAAAATTAAATCTATCTAGTTGTTTTAACATAATTTAAAATAAAGATAGAAAACTTAGACATGTATACTGGACAAGAGAGGTTATTTTTAGTTTTCCAGAAGAAATTTCCGACATTGCAAACAATATCTCCCGAGTTTTGTTTATGCATTTAACCATATATCATTTAAGCATGCCCCTGGAAATACTACATCAATATACCTAAAGCCCGTGTCCCATGTATCCGTGTATACGATGACACGAAAGTGTTTCTATTGGTTGGAGATCTGTCAGTTCGAATGACGGCGGACGAATTGACAGATATCCAACCAATAGAAACACTCGTATCACCACGAAGAAAAGTTGCTGGAAAAGAAAGAAAAGAATTGTTACCTATAAGGTACCAAACCAAGTCCGTGAAATTAGGACAAAAAACTCAATTTTGTGCTCAATATTTTTTTGTATGCAACAGATTACAATATTTCTAGAGTTATCGGCAAAAAGGGAATTCTTGTTCTTCGATCTTATTTGCGGAACTGTTCCGAAGCAAACATTGCATTAGAATATTTATTCTATATCATATCTATTTGGTGTACACCACACTTTGTAACAAGGTAAAAACTTCAGTACACCTTATTATGTAACAATTTAAAAAAATTCTGTTTCATGTAAAAAATTCCGATTTTTCAAAATTGGCAGTACCATTTTGCTTGGCAAAAAATTGAGCAATAGCCATAATTCAACCAGTTTATCATGTCTTTTCTGTTCTACATAATAGATTGAAAAAATACCAAGAATAGATAGTAAATTAGCAAATTTAATTTCGAATGTCGAATTGCAGATGTAAATCGAAAGTAATTGAAACACTCTTGAGTATTTAAAAAGCGCATTTGATTGCCTAAAGGACATGCTATTTACATGCTATAAAGCATACACAACGATTTTAAAAAAAGACTAGAATTAGTACACAAACACTACAATCACCTTGGATAACTGCGAGTTAAATTGAATCTTGTTGACGAGCTTTAAAAATAATATTTTGCAAAAGCCTCATTCTTTATTTCTAGGCTGACTATTTGCATCCATTACACCTAGATCGTTTAAGTTAAATTAAAGGAGATTGAAATAAATTGTCCTTTTTCCTGTTTGGAGTTATTAATCCTGATTTTTCCAAGATTTGTTACTGTTGTACGTTTTGTTTCAACCAGTAGTATTTTTAAATAAATTGACTGTCTGATTTTGTAAATTCTATTACAGAAACCGTAACCAAAACCGGCATGGTTTTGCTGTGCGGAGAAATTACATCAAAAGCAAACGTGGACTACCAAAAAGTCGTCCGAGAAACTGTAAAGCACATTGGCTATGATGATTCATCCAAAGGTAAGCATCAGCAAACAAACACCTAGAAAAGTACAAAAATTCCATTAAAACCAAAGGACGCAACTGGAAATATATTATTTTACCAGCACAATATTTTATTAAAATATACCCTTTTAACGTAAATGGCTTGTTAAAATCGCGGGGCGGTTTCAGTTAAATTACGATATCCGCGTTTAAAATTTTATTACCGAGAAAACAGTTTCTACATTGTAAAATCTGCTAGTCGATTTCCAAGAATTGTTTAGTCTTCAGCCGTTACTACCTGATATTATTAATCCTGATAGATTCCCAGACAGCAAGGCAAATGGGTGTTTAATCCCATTCTTTTTTAACATCTTGAAAAAGATGGGTCATGAGCGATAAGAATTTGCACACAAGTATTTTTGAACATTTAGCATAGTTTTAGTGGGCACATAAATCAACTTTCGAAAACCTGTAGAAACTTGAAAATGATTTATTTCGGTCGCAGTTCTACATTTTGTTCTTAAAAATTACACTACCTAATGATTAACTGCAATTGCTTCTGCAGATTAGGAAAAATCGCCTTTCCAATAAAATAACTGCCGAGTAAACAATGACCTTGTTAAACGATTGGCTGTCTCATCAACTAAGATTATTACTTTTCGAGTGATATAGAATGCCAGCAATTTTGTTTTGCATTGTTCTTTTTCAATCTCTTCATTTTTTAAAAGCAAAAGGGCACTGTTTTGAATACCAGAGCATCAATAAATGTAGATTAGACCAATGCCATCAATTGCTTTCTTAAAGCCAAGTTTTTCCATTTGATCCCAAGTTGATTGTTCATGGATAGTATAAAACATACAATATTCGCAATGATTTGAAATTGTCTAATATGAGAAGTATTCAAAATTAACGTGAGCGTTTCCCTTCGCCCTTAAACAGGGTTAGATTTTCGCACACTCAATCTTCTACTAGCAATAGAGGAGCAATCGCCGAATATAGCTGAAGGGGTGCACAAAGACCGAAACGACGTTGAAGTTGGTGCCGGTGACCAGGTAGTTATTTGGGCTAAATTTACTTAGATCTTAATAACAAGAAGTTTTGATGTATGCGAATTGTAGATTGTATATCTAACGTAGTAAGAGAAGATGCATGTTATATCGAGACGATAACAGTAACGTGCAATCATTTCCAGTTATATCAAACTTCTTGTTACTAAAACCCCAAAACGGGTGTCCAAATTGGGAGATGGAAATTTCAAATTTTTTTAACATGTTGCTTCGTGTTTGCCATTACATCAGGGCCAATAACATGGATTTCTACGTGTGAACTTGTTTGCCTTGCACACCCATCAAATGCAGCTCATTATACATTTTGGGAAAAATGATTTATTAAAATGCATGAATGATTACGATAATAAGTCAATAGTATATTATTTCACCGATTTGAAATAGTAACCATTGTTCATCATGGCAAGGATTAATAACAAAATAGTGTTAAATGCATTGTGGATCATTTTGTAAGAAATAAATTGTATCGCCGTTTGATTGCGTCTTGGGAACACACAATTATTGTAATATAAAAATAACACTCGAAAATTTTGGCTACAAACTATTTACTATCTTATAGGATATAGGTTGATCGTATTCAGAGTGTTTCTAGAGGAAAAGGAAATACTTTGGAAATGCGTTCAGGAGGTCAAAAAAAGTTAAATTACCCGATACGGTTTAATCCAATTATTAACCGTTTCTGAAATCAAGGTGTTTTTAATTTTTAACATTAGTTTGTGTTCAGACAACTTAAGGATTGATTCTCAACGAGGCGAAGGTTTAAATGCGAAAAATGAAGAGAAAGTTCTAAAAAGGGCTGAAGTGAATCAAGGTGTTAGTACCAGGCGGATTAGAGACGAACTTCTAATATAAACACATATGGCCGTTTAGAAGACACTTAGAAAAAAATGGTTTAAGCCTTTCCACATTCAACCGGTTTAAAGTCTATTTACGGGTTTTGGAAAAATATTTAACGAAGATGTTCCGCTAATTGTTCGACAACGAATGAACTTTCAGCATGATAGTCCCGCCTCATTTTAGTCGCCGGCTGCGTAATTTCTTGGAAAATCGTTTTCGTGATCGTTGGATTGGCAGAGGACCTCATGCTTGGCTACCGAGATTACAAGACTTAAATCTACTGGTTTATAACCTTTGGGGGTGGATGAAATCTCTAGTATACGAAACCGAAAATAAACAAAGTAGAGACCGTGGCAGTATGACGCAATCGAATTTTCGATGCTGCAAATATCATCAGAAACAATCTCCAAGCAATTCAAGCGTACTACAGCATGTTTTAAAGTTGGTAGGGTTATTTTTAACAATATGCTCGATTAGATTAGAAACGTCCTTTTTTCAGTTTCCTGGACACACAAACTAATGTTAAAAATTGAAAACACCTTGATTTGAGTTGAGTTCATCTTTTTAAAAGAAAGTCTGTAGAACCCGGTAGATCGGAATGTGGAAAGAGAATATGAATGCATCGACTTACCAAACCCTATTACAATATCAAATTCAGCAAATTTTGTCTGCATTTCCGGGCTGTCGATAAAAATGTGCAGTATCAGTTATTGGCATATTACTTCATTCGTTAACGGTTTCCGATCGACATCTCATACATTTTCTTATCACAAGGTCCAGAGTTTTATCATGTTAAATTGCCTAAACATCACGTAAATTACGTAAATTATTTGAGTTCAATTCATTTGTGATTTGCTGAACGCGATATATTTAACAACGTCTTACGTAGAAGCGTATATACCTGAACTGAAACTTGGTTAATAGTTCATTCTCCATAATTGCATGGGTATAATCCATTCTTTGTCACTGTGTCATCTTCGTAGGATTCGATTACAAGACTTGCAGTGTGATGCTTGCTCTCGATGCGCAATCCCCCAACATCGCTGCTGGGGTTCATGAACATCGCAATGAAGAGGAAATTGGGGCTGGTGACCAGGTCAGATTATCATCTAATGCTAAAAGGATTAAATGAGAGAGTTTTTTCTTTAATTTCTTCAAACGCTCTTTTTTGGTACAGATTCTTCAGTAGGTATAACGAAAAGAGAAAGCTGAAATGTTATAGTAACCTTTCGAAAGATAAACCGGCTCAGCAATTCCCACCAATTCAGCAAATAGACCTAAAATTAAATAATAAAAATATTTCCCTATGGATTAGATTTGATAGGAGCTTACGTTCAGATGATAATTCTGAATATTAAGTGTTGAAAGTTTTGCATTGAATACCGTTGAAAGCGATTTAAATTATACTAGACCGGGGAGACAATACCGGTTTTTTAAAGACTACAGCGCAACTTATTTTCAAAAACCTTATTCTTGTTAAAACTATCCCAAGAAATCTTTATGAATTTAAAAAAATAATTGAACGTCTTCAAACCGCCGCAGAAAGATAAAACCTACATAAGTACTACGTGAAGGCACAGTGTACAAAATTTACTTAATAGAGATGAAAAAATATGCAGTCTCCTGTGTGGATTTTGTGCTTTGAGTTGGCGAATAAATTAATCCGAACTCTTAACTGCATGTATTTGGGGGTGGATTTAAACTGGAATGAAGAAAGGAAATCATTTAAATTGATTGAAAAATTATTAGTAAATCTTTTCAGTCAAATTTCTTGTTTGCATCCTTATAATCAAACTATTTAAGGTATTAACAATTTTTCAGTCCGCTTGCTTTTGTTTGCGATACAGAAAAACGCGCACTATTTGTAATATTTTAGAAAGGTAATAATAGAAAAACATTCGTTATAATAATGACATTTTTCTAAATAAATTTAGGGGCTAATGTTCGGTTACGCAACCGACGAAACAGAAGAATACATGCCATTAACTGTTGTTTTGGCGCACAAGCTGAATGAAAAAATTGCAGAATTACGCCGATCAGGAGAATTTTGGTGGGCCAGACCTGATTCTAAAACTCAAGTGAGTAGGATCGAAAAATATTAAAAACACGAATTTAACAGTTTTTAAGCAGCGTTTAAAATATGGGAACATTTAGGTTTTACTATCAATTGTAATTTGTTTCAGGTAACCGCCGAGTACACTTTCAACCATGGAGCTTGCATTCCTCAAAGAGTCCACACTATTGTCGTATCACTCCAACACAGCGAAAAAGTCACACTGGACGAGCTCCGAGATGCCATTAAAAGTAAAGTGATTAAAGAAGTAATCCCAGCCAGGTTCATCGACGATCAAACTGTGATTCACATCAATCCTTGCGGTCTTTTCATCATTGGTGGACCTCAAGTAAGATTATCATTAATATTAACAACCATGCAACTTCATAGCAGAAGTTTTGACTAAATCGCTATTTTATCAAACCTGTTATTTCTAGAGCGATGCCGGTTTGACCGGAAGAAAAATTATTGTGGACACATATGGAGGCTGGGGTGCTCATGGAGGTGGCGCATTTTCAGGAAAAGATTTCACTAAAGTAGACAGGTAAGAAGATCTTGTAGTTCTGCAAATTGTTTTGACTTTGTCTATTAAGCATGAGGGCCAGTTGTCGCAATATTGTGAATCAGACCTGACAGACTCAAGCCTAAACTGGCTAAGAAATAATCACCAAATTAAATTTTTAAATTATTAACTGGCACCTTGTTCGTTGCTTGTGTGAGTGCTAGAATTAAATGCATTTAAAATATAAATATTCAATAAAAAACCGAGTTTAAATAAATAAAGCTTACGGTTCATTGCAGATCTGCAGCTTACGCCGCTCGCTGGGTAGCTAAATCCCTGGTAAAAGCTGGAGTGTGCCGCCGCTGTCTGGTACAAGTCTCGTACGCTATTGGTCTCGCGGAACCTCTCTCCATTTCAGTATTCGACTATGGAACCTCAAAGCTGAATCAGAAGCAGCTGCTCGATATTGTGAACAGCAACTTTGACTTGAGGCCTGGCAAAATCGTCAAGTAAGTACCGCAGTTATGTGAATGGATCATTGTTTCTTTCCTCTCCGGCTTGCTTTGAAAAGCGTCGCTAATTCCAATCAATTTCATTGTGCAGAGAATTGAATCTTCGTCAACCAATTTACCAAAAAACCAGTACCTACGGACACTTTGGTCGTAATGGATTCACATGGGAAACGCCGAAATCTCTCAAGCTCGGCCAGTATGCAAGCCTAATTTAACGTACATATATGGAGTTTATGCATGGGCTTCGAATCATCCCAGAAGCATATTTAGGTTAATCACAGCAAATGTAAGTTAGTGAATATGTAGTAGGTCTATCATTTAATGTGGTATGGCCCAAACTGAAAAGGATTTAGTATTTTTATATCGTAACGAATACGTGAAAGCTCAATTTTCTTGCAGCTGAACCACAGCTATGTCGGAGGGAATTTTTGATGAGCCAAAAATGCTTTCTCCCGAAAAAAGCAAGTGTTATCTCGATTTATTTTTTACAGAACCTCGAAACAATATGTGATATATTTCCTGAAAAAAAATTCGTGTTATTTCAAATACAATAATCTGTAGTTGAAAAGGAAAAAGTTGTTGTGCTTAACAATCTCAACCTCGGTGATCTTTTCGTAAAAAGTTTTCATTTTTATAATATTTAAAGGTCAAACTTTGATATCTTTAGTGCTCAATAATTATTATGCGCATGGTTAAATTAAAACAGCCAAAAACCCCACCAGTTACATAGTTGTAATCCACCGATCCAACACCGTTTTTATAGTATCTTAGTGTCTGCAATGTCTTAGAAAAAAAACGGGTTGGTGTATCGGTATGATTATGTTGTGCTAATGACCGAAAACGGGAAAAGAGCGTGCCGTTTGCACACCGGGTTTAGCTGGAAACAGATGAGCTTTCACATGATTGGCTAAGGACAGGATTCCCAGTGGTTGAACTGAATCAAACGTTTGCATTAGTTTTCAGAAAAAAATAAAATTGAAACATCCAATTTAATTTAACAATTGGGACTTCTGTACTTATACATACATTACAAATTATCATCAATTATCGTGCAAATGAAAAACATGGTATGGCTATGGGAATGAAAATTTATTTCATTTGAATAACTTTTAGACAAGCATTTATTAATGCGCTCGTTTTTGTGAAAGATGTATTTTCTCTATTCCTAATTGTTGAAATTGTCTACAAATATTGGTAATTTATATGTCATGAAATTGGTAGAATAAATTAAATGTAGAAAAAGAATTAAATTGGTTAAGAATGTTTTGCATTGATCTTTAACCACGTTAGGTTTTATAGTTGACATTCTTTCATTAACACATTAAATGTTATTTTCAGTGAACAATTTTATTCATCAGTAAAACATTTTTTTATTATTTATAGTAAATGTTAAGTAGCCAACTGCAGACTTTTTCTGACCAATGTCCTTTAAAATCCCACATTTATTATCCCGCCCGAGCACACTCGAACAAAAATTACAGTAGAAAGTTACGTTATAAATTACAACTGTTTTAAGTTGATTTACTGCATCTTCACAATGGCCTGTGCACCTCAGTTCAAGGGGAAACTCCATTCTTCGGTCATTATGGAAGTAGAACTTTGAAGAAGAGTAGATTCGCTATGCTGAAATACAAGCTCCTTGTGCGCTCGAATTGAAAGCGCTGTTTGTGTCTTTTTCTGGACTTACAGGACGGAAAAATTGGGAGTAAAATTATCGAATAAACTCTACGACATTCTCTTGTTGGTTGTTCAAAAATATCGAGTTTCTGCCAAAGTCAATGAAACAATTATAATATGTATATTCCAAACTTAACTTAATTACATCTTCTGTTTTATAACAGTCCTTTCAACGTGCGGTCTAATACAAACAACGCAGCGCCTAAGAGATGTATTGAGCCGGTCACTAGCACGTTAAACTGTGTATCGGTATGGTTCTCTAAAAACTTTACAGCTTGAGGAAAACTCTCAAACATATGGACCGTAGCGCTAGAGTTCAAATATTGCCACACTTTTGCATTTTCGCTGCAACGTTCTTTGTGGTAGGGAGCTGGGTTGATTACATCCTTATTGTCTGAGAAAAATATTCATTGGACATTTATACATTTACAATACTTTCTATTTAAATACATAATCATAATATCCATTTTTATTTTGGAGAACTTACCCGCAGTATTCTTATTAACAGCGTTTTTCAGATAATCATCGTCAAAGTTGTTCGTCGTAAAAATGGCAATATCAAAATCACATTTTAGTAGTATAATCAACAGTTTTTCGGGATCTCTTTGCCCAATCACGTTAAATATCAGAACTCGTTTCCTGTTGTCTTGGCCTGTTTTCGAAAGAAACCAATCCGAGCAAACTTGCATACTGTCTTCCGTATGGGCGCCATCTAAATAAAACCTAGCACGATATCAACGTAGAAAATCATTGAGCCCTTCATTAAACCGATAATACGTACACTGAATTATTCCTGGGAATTATTTCATAACGACCAGGCCATTGTGTATGTTCTATAGATTGTTTTGCCATCTCTAAATTAAATTTGTTATGATTAGGTCCTAAAAATGTAAAGCTGCACGTAAACGACGATTCTTGCTTAATTCCTTCAAACCTTACGCAGTTTCATAAAAGCTTCGCTAATAGAAAGTGACAAGCTAGCGTTGGTTCGCAAAACATGTAAAGGTATTCTGGAAACTTTATTATATGTGTAGTGGTCTTCAACGACATGAAAGTTACACTGAAATATTTTCAATTACATTCAAAGTCGAAACATCTAAGATAAAATCACCCACTTACTTTGCGTTCTTTACTTCTGTCTTTAAGAACTTTCATTGCAGCCTCTGGTTGCTGAACACAGAAAACTTCCGCGTTAGGTTTCATTATTCCTGCCTTGTTCCATGCAATGGATTCTATGCTGTTGCCCAATAACAACGTATGGTCTATATCTAAAGGCGTTATACCAGCAACCAAGGTTTTTCTACGCAAGAAAATCCGTAGATGATTAACGATTTTAAAGGAGCTATTCATATCTACCTTACTATGTTGGTGCAATCATATTCGCCTCCAATTCCAACTTCTAATATAGCAACATCCACTTGCGCTGAGATGAAAATGTGAAGAGCCATCAATGTTAGAAATCGAAAATATAGCGGCATATCATAGGAAGCGCTCTAAAAGGCACATGTTCTAATAGAAATATGGAGCATATTCGGATGTGTTCACCTTGACTTTGTCCAGTTGATTATAAATTCTCCAAAAATGTTTCGCAAAATCATCCTGAGAAATCGGTATTCCATTCAATCTGATTCTTTCACGCACTTCAATCAAATGAGGAGAGGAAAAAAATCCCGTTTTGTATCCGTGATTACGCAAAATGTTTTCACAGTAGGAACATGTTGTTCCTTTGCCATTCGTTCCGGTAATGTGAATAACGGGTAGTTTGTCCAACTGGTCAAAATATAGTCCTGACCTGTATAGGGAGTTTGATCATCGGTGACATAAAATTTGCCAAAAATGTTCAATTTAAAACAATCTCCATTTATTTTCGGGGTATTATGACCGTAAAGTATATCATTTTACATGATTTGGGATAATCGAGTTTCGTATTATATAAGCTGAAAAAATCTCCCCGTAAATTTGAGCGGCGGCATGATATTTTCTCTGTCTTCCACATATAGTTTTTGGCCCATCTCAAAATACATTTAAACGAAAAACATAAAAATGAATACCTATTGAGGAATTTTTCCATTTCCAGTAAGTTGTTCTGAGGATTGTTCCTGATTTTAGCTTGTTTGATATATTCCGCATTACTTTGCAACTTATTAAGTGTCTCAACCGCCTTCTGCAAATAGAATAAATCATTTAATATATGAGATAAAATCAAATTCATCTTGAAGAATGTGTTAAAGGTACAGTTTGTGCGAGACATCGGAAACAAAAAGTGAACATTATTTTCAAACCGTTAGGAGATTTGAAAATTTACATTAGCAAAAGTATTGTCTCTTTGACAATTATTGTTTATCCTTATCATACAGATTCGATAGCGACGTAATTAATTTATTCAAACACGAAAAATAACAAAAAAAACTGTCATAATATAAAATCTTGAATGAAAATTTAAAGAAGTTTACTTGTAGCAAATGTGCAGTTTTGTTCGTTAATTCCGGGACAGGAATTGTCTGGGTTAATTCATATTTTTTGTACCAGAAATTACAAGGAGGGTTTAAGGTATACGAATTATTGTCTCGAAAATACTTAACATACTTACACTATTAGTCAAATAAACATATAATGAATTAAATTTAAGACGAAATAGAATGTCCAACAAGTTTAATTACAAGCGAATAAGCTCTAATTATATGTATGTTATCAAAATTTTTGACTAATTTTACAGAGAAATACCTATCATATTTTTATATAATGTAAAATTTGGTCTAGGAAAAAAACTGCCATTGCTTTGTTGCATAAAAGCTGCAGACAATGTATTTATCTTGTTTTTTATTAGTAAGCAACTCGTGATCTGCTTTGAATGTCTATGAATGAATTTGCTCTAACAAGAGAAGAGCTGTGCAGAATTACACTGTTTTTCAAATTGCAATTAGGTGAGTGCTTAGCGTATAGCGATTCAGATGTTCAATAGTATAGAAAAGCAATAGATTTAATTTAGTCAGATTTCGTCTTAACGAATATGATGAAGTTATTAAACAAATTTACGCGATTTTCGAACACTGTGGACGTGGAATTACTTAAGATAAGAAAAAGTCCTCTATAGAGCCTGAATCAATTTCACTTAGTGAACTGGTCATCATGAGAGTACAAAATGTACCTTCTAGAAAAGAGGTGAGGTGTTTTGCTACGAACTTACGAACGTAACTCAACTAAAATTTTAACAGTTTCTTAAGGAAGTAAGTATTCCTAACTTATTTCTATGAAGTTGTTCGACTTTTTTGTATTTATTAATTTTATTTCAGGAATTGTTAAAATTTGTATTTATTCCCATTTAATTTTCTCTGGGCTGCTGGCGATTTATGTATCTTTTTTCACTTGAACAACATTTCAACTGCATTAAATTTCAACTTAAATGAATGAAATACAAGGAAATCACTTTGAATATAAAATGTACACTGTTGTATGTGTTTTTCAGACTACCTACTTTACCTGGATTTCGGAGGCGCAAAGAATTGCTTTTTTAGTCCATTTCATACAAGTACCTACTTTGACAGAATATTCGTTTTGACTTTGAACGTAAAAAACAAATTAACCGTGGAAACCAACGCAGAGGTACAATCAATAAGTTTAAAAGTGTCAAAAATATGAAAATGTGAGACATTCTCATGTATTAACAATAAAAAACAGGTATGTGCTATCAATTAATTGCCTCAAACTGCATTTTAATGTAAATTTATTTCACTTTGATACACTAAATTCACATACAGATGAATCAACTCAAGTATGTCCTAGTGTCCTTTCAAATTCAGCCATGAGATTCATATAAAACAGCAAGTTTTAGAATGTACTTAAATATAATATTTAACAACTACACAGGCCATTAAGCATAATAAGCATATTTGGAAAATAAAGATTTACCTCGTAATTGCTAGCCATGATACTGCCACTTTTAACTAACTGAGAAACTTTCCTGTAATTTATCGAAAAATTGCACAAGCCATGACCCAACATAACCATACTTTTAGATATAGACTCGAAAAGATCATTAATTCCTGATAATTATAAGGGCAAACAGTTAAAATTGATATGAAGAAAGCGAACGGTTATCACTATCACTCTGGATTCAACTTTACGCATTCAACAGTTCAAAAGGTTGTCGGGGAATCAAATGTGTTTTGAGAATATAAAGTAAATATATCAAATACTTTTATAGATTACGTATACTTCGATCGATTAAGGCTACGAAAGAATATTAATTAGTCTTTAGAAATTTTCTTCAACATTTTTCTAACAACAATGAAAACTTCAAAAATACCTAAAGCTTTTCAAGTTAAATGCAACTAAACCTTTTTGAATTTGCCTCGCAAAACTCACAAGGTAGAGATGGTCGAAGTGCAAATTAGACTTAAACATTTTATAGATAAGGATGCATGATGCAATGGGATCTCCAAAACTAAGAAATACTGATAAATTCCGAATTAATACAGTTAAATTCGAAAACAAAAAATTTCTTTTAATTTTTGAAATATTTAAAAAGTATTTTTTTGGATTTTCGTGTTTTTTTTCATTTTTGAAGTTATTTGAGCTTGTCTCAGAAGTAGATCTTAAATTCTGAAGAAAGTTTTACTATTGTGTTTTGGTAAGAAAGATAATCAGTAATAAGCGGAAATTTTTATGTTTTTTATGATTATCATAAAGTTATCCTAAAAACGTTTTTGAGTGTTAATTTAATTTTGAGTAAATCCGCTTTTAAAAAAGCGTTTTATTATCAAAAATCTTACTTGACAGGCAAAGTGCAAATAAATAGGGGGATTTTTATACAAAACTAACCGCATAAAACTTTAAAGTTAATTTTTCTTGGAATAAAACTAACGAGTTTTTCACTAAACTTTCTCTATTAATTTCAATATTTACATGTGTAGATAAGATAATCGCACATCTGTGTTAAATCACTTTTCTTCTCTCATATATAGTTCTATACTTATCTCTAAACCGTCCAATTTTGAAAAAAAATATGGGTTTTTGTCCTTGTCTTGCCCGTTTTCCGCGCTATTTCCATTTTGCCCTATCAATTCTCGAGATGCGCAAGAGCGTTACTAAGTAAGTACTACTTAGGTCCCATGCCTAGTGTGAAACGAACAAGAAACGTCAATGTCATAATATGTCTTTCAAGTAAAATATGGTTACGGAAGATGTGTCGGGCGTTGTAAAATAAAGTTTATTTCGCAGGACAGCATAAATACGCTTAATCCGGATTTTGAAAAGTGTAGTGCATTAAATTAGCGGATATTCTTACGTAACCCCATCACTCGGTGAGTAACCCATCAATTTCAGAAAGTTTTTTTAATGTTGTCTTCCCATACCCGTGTTAAAATAACGGTATCATTCCATCCCGATTTTTTGGAAACAAATTTATCTTGCAGAATTTCACTTCTGCCAATTCCGGCACTGCACACACAGAGCAGGATAGTTTTCATTGATTTCCCCAATAACGCAAGTCCGGTGCCATTTTATTTATTTTTCTCTATCTTGGGTGACTCAGAGGATTCACTCCCTACCCCGAAGAAAGTCCGTGGTAAAACGTCAAAAAACAGTGCTAAAACCATGGAACTACTTGCAGATAGACCAAAACCTACCATGTCGGACCGCAGGGCAGAGCTAGAGCGCAAAAAGGCCAGACTTCAACAGCTGAGAGAAGAAAAAGAAAAAAGGCGAAGAGATAAAGAACTACAAGCTGTTAAAGACTCGAAAGAGCGAGTCCAAGTGGATGCAGGGGGCGACAGAAAGGACATTGATAAGGCCCTTACTGACTTCGGCATTGCCCCACTGTCCGAGATATTTTCCAGCATTTCTAGTGCAAATTCCTTGACCCCTGAACCCAGCAGGAATCATACGCCTGATACATCTTTGCAGTTGAATAGTTTACCAAATAAGTAAGTTTATTTGATGTTATTGAGTGGAATTTATCTCCTGAAGCTTTGTTTTTTATCCCCAACCAATATACACCTGCACAAACATTGCTTTTATGATTTTAAAAACATGTAGTACAGTGTAAAAAAATTATACGCTTATCCGATTTTATGCTACTATGTAATAGCAATCTCTCCGATGAGCATTAGATCTAAATTCCGGAAAAAATACTTGGAGGAAAGTTTACACTAAAAAAAAACTAATTTACACAATAGCGTGAGTAAAATGTAAACACGAAGAACTGTTTACTGATTTTATAATATAATTCCAGTCTAAACAATGGTTACAATGAAATAAACAGCACAAAATCAATAATAGTTTAATATAAAAAACGAATATTGAAGCTAACTGTAATGTCTCACTATAAAGTCCTTGCAGGACTTGGATTCGTTTAATAACTTATTATGCCAGCATAAATCATGTTTACAGGTCTCACTAGTCAATGACATAGAACCTATTTATAGACACCTACCTATACACCTGCAAACTTAGAAAATTTGATATTCCGCTTAGTTAAAAACATATATCCATATTTGCTAATGAGATTTACATATTGTGCTTTTTAATTATTTAGTGTAATTGCCGTGCGAAAAAAGGTGCCCCAGCTTACGGTGGTTCCAGTACAGACTACGAGTATACCGCCTAAAGAAGTTGTAACTTATACCAAACAAACGCAGACAACTGCAACCGGCCATGAATTGCGTGATGGTAAGTTCGATTGGATTAGATTTTTGCATATTTAGAAGGTTTTTTGTTGGTAATTCTATTTAATTCCACAACTAGACATGTAAATTAAGTAGCTGATGGTTTCTGAGATAGGTATACTATTTCTAGTTATATTTAAATTTCATTTTTGGAAATGATTCCAAGAAGTTTTGTCCTGCATTTCATGTAGCTTATACCTATCTTTTTCATTTTAGACTCAGTGATAATTTTGATACATTTGCTTTTATTAACAAAATCATTAAATTATCATTTATTATCAAAAAAAGAAGAAACTTAAACTAAATTGCAAAAAATTGCCTTGTTTTAAATATGATAATTGTTAGTGTTGCTAAACAATTGAGGACTTAATTTCATAATAAGCAGCCATTTGAAAAGTAACCAGCAATTGCATGGTTTGAACTCTTTTGTCACACTATCCGATAGATTTGCTGTGTTAATTACACATATTATTCATACGTATATTATTCATGCTGCTGGTTAGGTTTTTCCGGATACTCCTGGAAGGCTTCTTGTAAGTATTCCAGTTCGTAACCATTCCATCCTATTTCGATAAAATGCTGCATAACAAATTTTGCTTGGCTCACTCCGACCCTGGTCTTGTTAATCTTCGATTTGATTTAATTATCACTTCCCAATGACCGTTTAGCACCTTTGATATACATATTGAGTACCCATTTTAATCCACTTAATATAATACTAATATTTAATTGTAAAATTAATGCAACATTAATTTTATATACCAAATGTTTGTGGTTAATGTATTTTTTTATGCAAAATCTAAATAATACATTTTGCGATTAGATACTAACAAAATATATTTTTTTTAATCTTGAGAATATACTAATAATAATAACGTCTTCGTTATTTTTCACCATGTCTTAATGGTGGTAATGGCTGTACATAATCACCTGAATGTAAAAACGAGTTATTCCTTCTTTTCCATCATGTACAAAGTCTGTTTTTTTGCACATTGGTTTAAGCTTTTTTCTGCCATTCATTTCATGTTAAGCTTTCGAGTATTTTAACAATTTTGTTCTTGAATGCTGCGAGCATCTTGTTCTTGACACACGAAGGACACAATTTAAACGTTCGCTCTTTTGTCGAAACGAAATATACTAAATGACACTATTTAAGATATTAGCGACATTATTTTTTGTATCGTAATTGCTAACAAGGATTTTCTTCTGCATCGTCATCCCCCCTTACAGGCTATATGGAGGACTGGTGGAGACCTCGCAAAGGTACGCAATTATGCACGACACTGCATCACCTTAACTTTTACATATCACGCTGTATATAGCCGCCTTACTTTTTACATTGTTAGTGACAAATTTACAAGATGCAGCTGATAAAAATTTAAATGGGTGAACCTTGAGCCAAATTCAATACAAAGAATTTATTTTTTGTTGTTTGAATTACTTTTTATTTTCAATTGAAAATGTGTCCATATCATAAACAGAGTGTTTCCGATCAAAAACACATTGTCAAACTAAATTCAACATACAGAACGATTCATATTTATGGGTCATAAGCACTCATCCACCGCTTAACTTTTCTTCTGCTAATACCTAATTGGATTATTTCGGATATATTTTTAGAATTTCCATTTAATTTCCTCAACATTCAACCTCTTGTACTCTCAGTAATTTTCGTACTGAATTCATCTTAGTAATTGGCTCAGTTCATTGTTTCTGCATCTATTCGAATACACTCTGTAATAACTAAATCAACTGATAAAAATTGCTAAAGATTACTCATTGAAACAAAAATTTTCCACCTTAAACAACTGCAGTAAATTGAAACAACATGCTTAATTGTATTTATCCAATTCACTCAAATTACATCGTGTGTTCCATTTTTTTCTCTCGCCAGTATTTGAGATGCAAAATATTAATCTTCCCGGTTAAATAAGGGTTTCATCAAACAAAAGCGGTCTTGAATTTAACGCCGCTTATTTGGTTGTATCATATGTTTAAACTTTTATATATATCTATTTCATCACAAGGAGCTTTTCTGCAAATTTATGTGTGCATTGTATGAGTTGGATAGCATATTGTACATTTTTATATAACTCAGAATTACCAACAAGACAAGTTTTCTTTGACATGTAATATACTTAGGTACTGTACGCTTGATATTTTTTGTCTAATCGATGTTTTTCTTTTTTAATTTCTTTAGCCCATGCCACAGACTACTACGGTAAGTTTCTAGATTCCAAATCTTTGCTATTCCAGCTAGTTTTCGCTTTTTGCCAATTTGGTCTTAAGTTTGTTTTTCACATTCCCTTCGTTCCTTTGCTACATTTTTTCATATTTCCCTTACATTAGGCAGCCAATGCGAACTCAACTCTATAAAAGTGTTCGATCATCAATCGATTGTCATTGGCTGCTCCTTCCTACATTCGCTCACCTACTTTTGTTCTCAATCTTTTTGCTCAATCCTGACTTGTGTTGTTCATACCTCATTTCTAAATGAATGAAACTCTCTCTAAAAACTTGTTGCCTGAATTATTAGTGATGTATATTGATTTGGGGGGACAATGGATGGCGCTGTGTTCTTTGTATATTAAGGGTCTCACTGTATACAAACATGCTTGAATATTGTGCTAAAATCCGTTTGTTAGTCCGTATTGTTTAGATTGTATTCATTTTGCGAATTTAAAAGTGGCCTTTGATTTCAGAAAAATTTACAGATTTTCTTTAACACCAAGTGTGTATAACTGCAGCGACTCGGTCGTTTTTATTCATTTTAGTATATTTGAATCCCAATGAACATTCGTTGTATACACACTGATAAGTTTGCAAAAAATACATTAGCAAAATTTGTATTTCGAGCAATATTAATCACATTAACCAACTAACTGCATGCTGAAATTAACCAGATAAATTTGCTGACTTAATTAAATTTAGTAACTTTGCCTCGTAATGCAGCTGCAGCACTATTTTTTCTGTAAGGCCATCATTTGTGGACATTTTTATTGGGCTGCAAAAGTAAAAATAAGTTATTTGTTCTTCATTGGGCCGAACTACCTTCAACAGAAACTCATAGGGGCGTAATAATCGGCTAATACTAGACTAGAAGATTTGGCTCCTGATGAATTCCTTCAGATAAATGAATAGATTTTGATTTAATTTTGAGCAGTGTTTCTGTTCCATTTTGCGCAACACTCAACAAACAAACAATGCACATCGATTACACCACACGCTTTGGAAATTGCTCGCTTTTTCTAGAAATTGTGTTACAATTTCAACAGTATTTTGTATATGAACTTCATGCTTCCACGCAAATAACTTATTTTTACTTAATTTTTGAGAAAGTATTATAAAGTGTTGTATATTTTATCTTTTTGAAATTCGAAAGAAACATTTGATTTTTATCCCTAATGTTAACTGTTTCTTTTTACTCCCACCCTACGGCAGACGAATACAACCTAAACCCAGGTTTAGAGTGGGAAGATGAGTTCACAGGTAGGTGGCTACGCATAGCTTAGGTTTATGTATTTGGTGTTTGTTAACTTGGGGAAACTACCTCAATCTAAGCGCTTGCGTAGTTGCAATATGCTAACATTTCTTTTTCTTTTACTTATCCATTTTATGGTAAAACTAATTTGTGGAAAATATTTTGGCTCGATCTAGTTAACCCTCTGGATTGTGGGCTGATCTCGAAAAACTTAAGCCTGTATACAGGAGAATCTGTAGTTTTTAGTTATTATTTTAGCCCTTAAAATCTGCTTCTTTCAATCGACTTAGTTACTCCTACCATATCATGTAAACAAGATTGTCTGGGGCAGTTCCTTATTCGAAACCTCAGAAAATTACTACATCTGATTATTCAGGCAATACTTATAAACTCTTTTAATAACTACACACTTACCACACGAAATTTACACTGTTTTTACATGTTTGGACTTTGATATATTACAAATATTAATAGAAGGTAGATGTTTTGTGGTACTTTGGAGGTATATTAATAGAAGGTGCAACTAGTGGAACGGAAAAATTTAATTTAACCAAAAAGACGAAAGTTAATTCAGTTTCGATCGCAACCGAAGGAAAATGCTTTTAGATGCAGCGTCTCTAAATCACTGTTGTCTTGCGTATAATACTCTAGAATTAAATTAACACTATGTACTAATATCTGTTTCTGCAACTATTTGCTTGGCCATCTCGCTACGTTTAACGCCTGTGGGGTCAAATTCCTTTTACTCTTAATTTTTTTCTTTGCCTAAATGTGTTACTTGCCTCTATCTTCTTCCTGTCTATAATTCATCCTCTAATTGTGAATCCCCTTTACACATGCTTGACATGCTGATGTTTGTGTTCTAGTGTGTGAATGATGAAACGTAAATGTCGTTGATTGGTCAAAATGCTTCTAAATTACTCACAATAGGATTTGATTCTTAAAATTTTATTTATTTTTGTTGTACTTTGGCCAACTTGGGCGTTTATTTCATCGAAAGATAACTGTAATGGAAAATTGAGAATGTTTTCTTTTAGAGTTATTGCAGTAATGAGTAGAAAGTTTTGCCAATGTGCCATGGGTCAATTATCAGAGTAGTTATTGCTTTGATGCGAGATTGTTGTAGACATGTTTAATAATTTGTTTGCAAGAATTCCGGACAAATATGCACTTTTGCCAGTTGAGGAAAAAACTCCAAATTAATTGCGTTTGTCCGAATTTGTTGCAACAATTCCACCAAAGCCGCATTTAACGTGATTGTTGCCGGAATGAGTGTTCATGGACGAACCTTTACAGTTTACACGTTGTTACGTATTACACGTTCAAATCTAAACCTGCTATGGCTGTAAAAAGATATTCCTATCTGAGCAGAAAGGAAGCACATTGAATTACACAGCAATTTTAAAAACCGTTCTTTAAAAAGTAATGATCAGATAAAAAGTGCCGTTATTTACACTCCATTCAACAACACAACCTGCAGAGAAGTAATCGCTTTCTTGGGAACTATTTAATCTGCCGGCTTTGTTTCTCGGTCTATATTTATGTAGATTTTCCACTCACTTTCATGTCTTTGATGCATTATTTTAAGAGATTCACTTAATTAAATCCGAAATATCACATGAGCCAAATTAGGTATAAAACTGACAATGGTAGGCAGTAAATGATGTCCAAAAAGCGCCGTTTGACTGGCAGAATAGTATGTTTCAGGATACTTGATTTCATTTTAAAAGCTAGCTAAGAGTGCCTGAAGCGTACTGAGTGAATGAAATAAACTATAATATAACGCCGGCGATTATTCGCCTTGAGAGCCCGCCAAATATTCACCTTTAGTTCTAACGTATGGCGACCCGCAAGGAGAAGACGAGGAGAGTTCGCTGCCCCATCTCGGCGCCAGCAAACTTCCCCCTGGAATTCTACCCCATGGTCTTCCTCAGGTCATGGAAGTGCAACCAGCTGTTACACAAGTGGAGCAAGACGCCAAGAAGGAGCAAGAAGCGAAAGAAAGTAAGTCCAAGTCTCTAAAAAATATGTCCTAGACAGTAAAAGGTTTCCTTATTTTGAATATTAGTTCGAGATCTTAGCGAGGAGGAACAACAGATGATTATCCTTTCCGAGAACTTCCAACACTTTATGGATAGGGCAGGCCGGATCATGGAAAGGGCGCTCTGTGAAACTGTGGACATTTACACGGACTATTCGGGTATAGGAGAAGAAGGTCTGGACGAAAAGTGCCATCAGACGATTTCGTTTAATCGAACTTTCTTTGATGAAAGGTATTTCCATTCTTTCTCTGATGGCTGAAAATTACCTTCACCATATCAAACTTTCTTTCAGGTGGTCTAAAAATCGTTTAATAACCTCCTTGGATTGGTCACCGCAATATCCTGAATTACTTCTAGCCTCGTATGCAAATAACGACGAATCACCGAACGATCCAGGCGGAGTAGTGCTAGTTTGGAACACCAAATTTAAGAAAACTACTCCTGAATATGTTTTTCATTGTCAAAGCGCAGTGTTGTCGACAACATTTGCTAGGTAAGGCTGGCAATGTGTTAGGAAAACCAAACCGAGTGGATTTAATTTTTTTTTCAGGTTTCACCCCAACTTAATTTTGGGCGGTACTTATTCCGGTCAAATTGTTTTATGGGACAATCGGGCGCAAAAGCGGACGCCGGTCCAACGGACACCGTTATCTGCTGCGGCACATACTGTAAGTTTTTCATGTACAATTGCACGTAAATTGCATTTAAAATTTTTTTATTTTTTTAGCATCCAGTGTATTCATTAGCAGTCGTCGGCACGCAGAACGCACACAACTTAATAAGTATTTCCACAGACGGTCGGATGTGTTCTTGGTCTCTAGACATGTTGGGGCAACCGCAAGAGATTCTAGATTTGCACAGAATGCAGGGCAAACCAGTGGCTGTGACTTGTTTGGACTTTCCAAGTTCAGATGTCAATAACTTCGTTGTAGGATCTGAAGAAGGTGCGGGCGTGAATAAAACAATAAAAATTTTCATTGCTAAAGCCTGTTTCCTCTAGGTGCTGCATATTCTGCTTGTAGACACGGAACAAAAGCAGGAATTACAGAAACGTATGATAGTCATCAAGGTCCTATTGCGGGCATTAGTGTTAATGCTGTGCAAGGAGGCATTGATTTTTCTCATATGTTTCTCACGTCTTCGTTCGATTGGACTATGAAATTGTGGAGCTTAAAAGTAAGTAAAGAAACCGATACGCCTGTAACAATGATCTAAATTCTCGGTTTATGTTAGGACACAAAGCCGATTTACTCATTCGAAGACAACGGTGATTACGTAGCGGATGTTAAATGGTCCCCCGTTCATCCTGCGCTGTTTGCTGCAGTTGATTGTCATGGTCGCCTCGATTTATGGAATCTGAACCAATATACGGAAGTCCCAGCAGCTAGCGTTACAGTGGAAGGGATGCCAGCTCTCAATAAAGTATCCTGGACTCCTTCGGGCTTGCACGTTACCGTCGGAGATAGTTTAGGAAGGATTCATGTGTATGATGTTGCAGAGGTGAGTTTTTGCTTTTTTTAAATGCTTTCAAGGAGAACTAAATAAATTCCTTTTAAAACACTTCATTCTAAATGTACATGCACTCAACATATCACTCTTATATCAATAAATAACAATCATTAGGTTGTGCGTTGTAAAAAGCTTCCTGTTAAGGCCAAATTTTTAAATATTTTATCCTCAGTTTTTCAGTTGTCTGGCAAATCATCCGAATTTTGGGTGTTTTTAAAATTTGAAACATTTTTTTCTTCATACAAAAAACTAAAAAAGGCAAAGCGTTATTGAGTTATTGCATGGCTAATGAACACGCCAATAAAATGTAAGAATTATGCGTGGGGACAAAATAATTTCAGGCTCGAGCGCTTGTTGTTTTTGGAAAACCCGCTATTTTTTGCTATGGTTTAGCTGGTTTTAAATTCAGTTATATGGCAGATCGCAACCATTTACTATGACCAACATTAATTTTTGTTGTTGAATTATCTTGAAATAAAAACTCGATAGAGAAACCAAAAATGAAATAGACATTTTATGCAAATATGAAGCTGCTGGTCTAACTTATTTTTGAGCCATGATAAGTGAGTTTACCATCAGAAATACCAAAACGACCATAAAATATAGTTATAAATGATGAATTCGGCTGCGGTAATTATTTTAGAATGTGCGTGATTTCAAATGAAACAAACATAAAAAAATTATGAAAGACCCAGAAATTTAAAAAATTATAAAATGTCTAGAAAATAACAGAAAACCTTCTTGCAGGCGCTTGGCGCTTTTCCATACGAAATTTGAAACCGTGTTTAATTGGTATAAAGAAATTATTACGTTACAGGTTTTTAGTTTTCATATCAATTTACAGTTGAAAGCTGACTTATAGTCCAAAAAACTGCGTTTATTGTGTTCTTGATAAAATACACAATCGCATCGCTTCGATTCGCATTTGCATGATCAATCATCCCAGAAACACCAGACAATTAATGCCGGCTTTTATTTAGAATTTCGCTCATCCCAGGCATGATGAATGGAACAAATTTCTCTACACCACGCAGGAGCTACGAAATAGCCAAGTGGATGAGGAATTAGGAAAATTAAGTTTTTCAGTGCCTGGTGCATCGTTTTAAACATTATTATTCATAGGTTGTTGATCCACTTGTAGCGTCCATTACTAGTCTGAATGGTGGTTGTTTAACTTAATTAAGCAGGTTAAAATAATGAATTCCACATACTAAATTACTAGTACGTTTAACACAGCAAAACGTTTAGACATTGGATGTGTACTACAAGTGGACCAACAAAGTGATAACTCTAAAGGATTAAATGCAACACTATTCCAGAAAACCACATAGGGGAAATTTAAAAGAACATAGATGTGTAGTTGTATCTGCCAAAATGATATTTGATGTTTATAATGTTACCCACCAGCTATAAATTTATGATCTGTTCCAGCAGCTTTATTTGAAAAATGTATTGTGTACTGATTGATTTGGGTTTTAAATGGTAGGTTTATTACTTCACACTTACATACTGAACAGCTATTCCGCTATGTGTCCCAATATGTACCTTTTTCCTATTTTTCGCTGCGAGCCATACATTTTCAGACTTAATAAATCTACCATCATTTGAAAACGCATTGTATGTTAGAGTTGCACTGTCCTAAATGGAGACTTGAAAACTTCTAATTTTCTCTAAATTAGAGTTAGAAGAATGTCGTCGTTTTAACGACCTGCAATGTGATTCTGTCAGCTGTACAGTTAGATGAGATTGAAGGTTGATTGACGTTGAAGTTGTCTTGTTACACTTCCTTCTTTCTGTTGTATCATAATGTACTAAAAAAATATAATTACCGTGTTTGCGCGGTTAAAAAAGAAAAAAAAGAAAATCTAAAATAAAGTATCATAATACAATAAAAATACATATAAGACTCTTATTTAACAGCAGCTTAATAACGATCATGGCGTTCTATCTGTTAATGAATTACTTGAACTATCTGCAATCTGTTACATGTGCCTGTAAATAGCTAATTTATTCGTATTATTAACAGATAATTTAGTGAATTTTGATACTTATGGTTTTCTATGTTTTGTGCCTTTGTGTACATATTGAATTATGTTATTATTTATTATTAATTTCCAATTAAATAGGCGTTAATTAAGACAGTTATCATTTATTTGATGTGCACACCTTACTGGCGGTAAGTATTAATCGTAAAACCAACAATGAATGACTGAGCTAGCGATACAGATGCTAAAGCGCATATTGCATGAAGTAACACACGACTCTTTATCTATTTTTTATTTTCAATAAGACAAAATTATGATACAATATAAACTTAAAAAGTATCAATGAAACACACCGATAATAAACGGATTACTAAATAATTAAAATTATTAACAGTAAACAAAATATAGACCTTAAAAACATTGTATCGCTGTAACTTCTAAACAAAGTATGCTTCAATTTTGATTTACCCTTAAATAGATGGAAAATAATTGTTCTATTTTGGTGAATAATGTTTTAAATGTGTATTGGAAATTTGAAATTAATTATATCAATGAGCCAAATGGAAATGTCCCGTTAAATTTGGACTATAATTATTTCTTTTTTACAGTTGGAAATGTATTATGTTAATACGGACATATAGCAAATTATTATTAACGTAAGTAGATATTTTTACAGTAACATGTGTAGTTCTTATAAGAATATATTTAAGTTCTAACCATTTTGAAGTGATTTGAAGCACAGTATTCACATTTCCATTGAGCAATTGATTCACTCATAAAATATAGGAAATGCTTTTCACTATTTTCTAAATGGATTTTTTTGTATGCATTAAAAATCAACTAACTGTAAATCCTGTATTTTACTTGGCCTTTTAATCATTAAAAAATAACCAATTCTACATCTAATACCTATCACTATCTTTCGCACAGCCAGTTTTCCATAAAACTATTTTGGTTTATAAGTTGAAGTTGTAATTTCTATTCGGACTCTATAGGAAGAGTGAGATTTAATTTCAACGGATTTTAATTCTCATGTGAAGTTAGATTTTGTGCAGAAATCACGGCCGAAAGCAAAATAGAGAGCAAATGTCCAACACCAAAAATAGTTTTACCGTAATATCATACATCTTATACTTTCAAAGTTGTAAATATTGTATGAATGATAATTATAAATCTATGTCAAAAGTAACTAATGTTTGCAAATTGCAAAAACTGCACAGAATTCAAGAGGCCAGCTCCATATCATCACTTATTTTAAGATTTCTATCACAACATGAACACAATCTTTTGTAATCATTTTCAATCATAAAATCATTCCGGAGTTTAGTTACGCAAAGTAGCAATTTCATGTAATTCAAACTCTTAAATTGTTATTAATAATACTTGAATAAACAGCAAAATGTATCTGATAATGATCAAACAATTCCTCAATATGATACTAACGGAAAGAGGTAACGTTAATAAATGGTACTCATTTTTTCAGTAGTTGATCACTTACTGAAATTTATTCACTATGAACATTGTTTAATCTTGAGCACATATAAATTGCTACTTTCTAATAGTTCTTCATCGTTATAATCGTCATAACATTACCAAAATAAAGATGTTTTATAGAAATGAAAAGGTTTCGTTAATAAACTAAAATAATAAATTCCTTAAAACTAAATTAAGACATGCTAGACTAGTAGGAGTTCAAAGAAAAATATTTTTAAGTCAGTTAAGGTCATTAACCCAATTTCGAATAATCAACATTATTCCCGAATAATGAAGTTATTCAGTCCTTTATGAAAGTATGCTGTTTAACTTTAAAAATAAAATTCTCATTTTTCTCTACAAGTAACAAAATATAAACCAGAACGTAAACTAACGCCAAGTAAAATACGTCTTATTTTAAAATGAAATATATATACAGGGTGTGTGGTTTTAAACCATCAGTAATATTGGCGGAACAACTGTAAAACGTATAAAAATGATAAACAAAACTATGCTGTAAAGTATTGGCCCTAACAACTTAATATAAAGCTACATATCCAGGTTTAAGCCAAGATTTCAGGCTAAATCGGTTAAAAACAAGAATTCCAAACATATTTTTGTTCAAGTAATGTATTTACCGGGTTTTTCTTTTTTTCAAATAAAATATTTAAAATTTTATGACTGGTTTCTGCAACAGCAACTGCACTCTTGCTCTAAGCCTAAATCAGTAACGCATTCTAATATTAAAAACTTGCTCAGAATATATTCTAAGTTGTGTATAAAAATATTATGGCCAAAATAGGTTATCAATCCCACAACTCTGCAAATGTAACAGGTCCTAAATAAAATATGTTTATGAATAATTCAACAATTGGGCCCTCAATAAGCCTTCAACGCTGACCATTACTTATTCTAAAAAAGTTTTTTTTATGTACCTTGTAACAAACTTTAAAAACTTGTTATTAAAGCTATCATATGCCTGAGGATCAAAAGCACTCAAATCTATTTGATTGGACAAAACACTACTTATTTAAGTGTTAATTAGTTTTATTAATGACGAGACATAGCGAGATGATATCGTTAGCGAAATATGCGGCATGTATGATTGCATTTTTATAATCAAAACACACAGACAAGTGACAATGTATAAAGAATTGAAAGGAATAAGTAGTATCAGAAAAAAAATATATTTGGGTTGCCTTATTTGGAAAATGTCCGAAGTTTTTTTAAATTTTAACTACCCGAAATTCTTCATACATGCACACATTCTGACCTTTAAATCCTGAGGTTTCTATTGTTTTAAACTTTAACAAGAATGGCTTGAATACCGTAATCTTATTGACTAGTTTTTGATTTGTACAACTCTTAGAAATGTATATTCACCTTAACTTTGTAAACGGCATCTCTGTGTTCTATCAGGGGGAGATTCATTTTTACGTTGATTTCCTGCAGTCTATAAGTCGTCAGTAAAGCTAGAAGATAATGCTGTATTTCCACTACTTCCAGCTTTAATTTTATCAAGGACCCTGTTTACATATTCGGTAGTATGGCCTGCCACTTTTCCTCCTAAAGTTGGATTACTCACATGAGGAATTTGTTGAACTTGTTGATGGGTTTTCTGGTCAAATTTCGGATCGTTAATATACTTACTTATGCAAGATTTCGTTAATTTGTCTATATTTTTGGCTAACTCTTCTCGGGTTTCTGGATTAGGTTCGTTGACTTTAGCTGTAATTAGCTGCTTTAGTTGCTGAATTGTGTTGATGTACCGCCCTAACATAAAACATGTTGATTTCAAATTGCCCAGTAAATCATCAAGCATCACTTACTATGTTCATGTTCGAGTCCTTGAAGTTTAATTTTATTTGCTTCATGTTGCGCTTTCTTTTTAAGCCTACAAGCCCTAGAAGCCAATTTGTTTTTCTCTTTCCGCGAAGTGGGTCGGACATTGAAGGGTAACTCACTAACAGGCGTCATATCGTTGATTATTCTTCCCAATTTGTCCAGTTCTTTGCCAATGTTAAAAAGCTTTCGAGGATTGGGAGTTAAATCGTTTCCATCACCTTTACGAGCTTTTCCTTAAATATTCAAGACGCAATTTTCAAATTTTCAGTAATGCTGTAGAGTTTTCCAGAAAAGCTTTAAAATATAGTTGACATGAATGGTTCTTTGGACAGTTCAAATGAGTGGTGAATAGCCAGCTAATTAAAAATACCTTGGAAAATTGCACATTCAAAGTATTAAATGAAAACCTTTAACTTACCACTGTGTCTTATGATCGCCAACTTACCACTATGTTTAATGCCCCTAACAGAACAATCAGGACTAAACACAGGGTCAGTGATTTCGTTAAGCACGTGCGGATCTTCCATTTTCGATTTCATAACTAATCGTTGACCTTTTGGTCCTTTAGATTGAATGTTGTACTGCCAGAAGAACTTTTCTTTTTTGGAATTTTTCGGGGGTTCATCGTCATCGTCCGAATCTATAATTCATCGGCCTTAATTACAACCCAATAATGTATGGAAAACGGTAAAAACGCACTATTATCCGATGAATAGTCTTCATAGTGAGTATCACTGTCTTCGTCACTGTCGTATTCGTCGTGCGAGTAGTCTTGAGGATCAGGACTAAGAACCCCTCCGGTTGATAGAGACGATGTAGAACCACATTCAGCTAAAGAACTATAAGAACAGTTAATTTTTTATAATCATTTTATTAATGCAATGAAAATGTTCATTCATTTCAAAAGAGCATATTTTTTTAAATTAAATCCCCGTTAATTGGTGTAACTGAATATCGTGCTGAACAAAACATTATTCTCAGTCAGCCAGTAAATTCATGCTCCTTTCAGAATTTTTGTGACATAATCGAATGTTATTTGTAGTGGATCAGTGTAGAATTGTAAACATGTCATAGTAAAATCAATGACGTTGAACAATGTTAGTGCCAGCGCCATTTGGCAAGTTTGTTTCGAGCTAAAAATTATAGGGAAATAATATTTAAACTTAGTAAGTGTGACATTGAATTTGTTGATGTGGCGGGAAAATAAAGCGGCCATTCACACATTACGGAACGTTGCTTTTCAGTCTTGTTTTTTAAATTACAAGGTTTTCAAATCTCTACAAAAATATATGAGAATCGAGCTTTGCAAACAATAATTTCCGGAGCAGTGTTAAATTAGACCAGGCTAAAACTATTTTTAATCGGATAAATATAAATCTCTTATGCCAAAATACGCTGAATGTATTTAGAAAAATACTAGAGAAAGTAACACGCATTAAGTTGCCCCCTGAAAAGGACTTATCTATAAATAGAATAAAAAACTACCTTGTTGATAATAAATGTTTTCTGGGCTCTCTTCTTTGCCACAATTGATCCAAATCGACATGAGTGGGAGCTGAAGAAGACAGCCTTGAAGCTTGATTTCTGCACATTTTCAAATTTGGAGAGTGAAGTGGTGTATTTCGGCTGGACGGCATTGACTGACCTAATAAAAAAGTTATTCCTAAATCAAATCAGAAGAACCTTTAATGTAGTAGTTTTTTATTTGTTTATTTATATTTATATACGTAATATTTTATTTCAGTTTCAGTTAATTTGCATTAAAATTTGTGTTCGGTTTATTCCGAAGCCTAATTGAAATTATTATATAAATTATGAAGGAAATAAGACAATGTTTATCTTTTTTCCCAAAGTGTACATAAAATAATAAAAATCAGAGAATCCTCTTCTTCTGGAATCTTAAGATGATGAGATTTTCATGAGAAATTAATTCCCAGGCTGCCTGCAAGATTTTAAACATTTGCAGTTTTTTAATTAAAATTGTGAAAATCTGTTTCTTTTTGTCTTAAGTTTGACAATTTTTATTTTCGTTAAATTATAACTGCTTTTAAGGCCTTGTCATGAGACCCAAATATTATGTCTAATAGTCCGAAAACACTTCGTTTCCTGTCTAGGATTTCAATTTTTTGCTCAAATATTGATTTTGCTACATAATTTTACATCATTGAACTTTCTAAATAATTGCGAAAATCTACAGGGTGATTCTCACTTATCTCCCTAAACTTTAGCAGTGAGCAGCTGATGGATTTCAAAATGCCAACGTAATTTTGTCATTTCTTTAGCTCGACTCGTTTTGTTTAATGATTTTCTTCGATTCGCTCAATTTGAGACAAGTATTTTAAATGGTCTAAAAAGCTAGTATTATGAATTATGCCTTGCATTTCTTCAATTTCATTTGATATTGCAACTTGCGTCTGGAATATTGTCCCAGAGTTTAGCTCAATATTTCAAATTCTTCAGGAGCTATAACGAATAGTAAAAAAAATAATATTTGAAATTTCAGTGGGGAAACGCTAAACCTGTACGCTTGATGTTGAATGATATTTAGGAAGACCCTATAAAATAAACTGCTCAACAAAATCAACTGACAAATTTGGAACTGGATAAATTCTGATTGCGGCGAGATTTTAAATACCTGTGTAAAACGTTAGTTCGGGCAAATTACACATAAATCAAAGCAAATACAAGTTTGATCCGCATGTACATATTTTGAGCCTGATTATTTTAATATTCTCAATGACAATTTATGGTCGGGAAACTAATCTACAAATATTGTAATGACCTTTACATTCTCTAGTATGTTTGTTATGAGCCAACTCATCGACTATTAAGGTATCTAGAATGGCTCTCGTTCCAGCTTGGTTTGATTATCCAGATTAAAAATCGTAATATGAATATCAAACAAGCCACAGTGCATGCAAATGATTGATGGATAACGTCGGCAAGGTCAAAGATAACGACACTAAACGATATGGCTTTTACTATAATATCACTTGGTCAATGAAATATCGTGGCATGTTTCTACTTTCTGATGAGACACATAAATGACTTTGAGATTCGAAACATGCAATAACAACCTTGGGCGATCATAAAACATTCTCTTTTCAAACCAACTGTCCAATAATTGTTAAAATTGAATCACATTTCATCAAACCTTTTATACAAGCTCTCATTTTAATAAATGGTAAAATTATGCAATTGTGGCCTGATAGCGGATGCTTAAAATTCCTAAATATTGAACTTTAATCAATTTCGATTTATTTAAATTCGGTTGATTTAAATGCATGTCGGGGCAAGCCCGTCAATCTTACCTAACAGGGATCTATCGGGTGACGACTCGAATTTATCTTTTCTCATTAGCAAAGAATGAAGGGTACTCTGTTTCGGTTGAATGGTGTGGATATGCATCGGAGAAGTTTGGGAATTGACCACTGACGAACTAGAGCTAGCTGGACTGCCTGAGAAAAAATAAAATAATTTTCTTCACTGCTTTTTTTAGTATTTTCACATATCTGCTTGGTTCCATTATTCTAGCAGTTAATTCATAAATATCCCTGCCAAGACGTATTTGTGTACATATATACGCTACTTCTGCTATAATTAAACGTAGTAGTATAAGAATGCTTTCGTCTAATTTTAGTTAAAAAGATCGGGAATTCCATGACCGGGCACGTGGACTGATTACCAAAATATATGGAACACTAAAGCCGCCTATTAGGTTTCAAAAGAATCAGTCATTTAAATGGCAGGCATGTTTCTCAATGGCGCAAAAATCCTCGTTACCTGGTGATAGAGCGGAGACTGGAGTTCTAGAATTAAAGTCATAATTTCCCGTGTTGATTCCGACAGCTGGTAATTCTATGTCCTTGTAATAAATCATGCCTGCAAAAAATACTTCTTATCAATATTTCGCAAGTATTTAACGACAAAATCTTTTTTTGCTCTGTGTGTGTCTTTATTATCAATGTTGCCTTCTTTAAGATATGTTAAAGGCTGTTGGCTAAGGTCAATGTAGATTTACCAAAATTTCAGTTTATTATTTCGCAAGTGGATTGAGGTCAATTTTGAATAATTTGAATTTTTTTAATGGCAAACACAAAGTCTTCCATTTACATACCTTGTGGACATGATGAAGCTAAACCTGTTATCTGATTATTATTTGTGGTGTTATTATTAAAAGAATAAGCACTAGGGTTGCTCTCCAAAATAGTATAGTTACCATCATTTGGCAACAGTAAATCGTCAAAGTTGAGGTCTCCAAGAAGATTTTCATCATTAGCATTCAATTCAGCCAAAGTAGGACCTTGAGTAAGAAAAACAAATTAGAATGAATTCTTGCGAACAACAATTAATGTACGCATACCTTGAATAAGATCGTTTTTGTCCACTTGAAAAATATCATCTTCATCCATATGAATTAGAGCTTCGGACTTTAAAAGTTCATCGTTGGTCATAATGCGGTGTCCCCAATAACTGTCATAAGGATTGCTGGGTGATAGAGCTTGATCAGTTGAGAAACCTGCTAAGATGATACACATTTACTTTATAATGTCTGCTTTGAATATGGAGGATTCCTTGAGTGGGAACTGAGAAATTCATGCAAGTCAAAGTTGAATGTCACTCAGTGTGTGGTTTAGCTTTACAATAATTGGAAAATAAGAAATCTCTAATAATATATTTATAAACATTTATTTGGCAATAATGATAATCACTATGACGTGCTAAAGTGTTCGATTATTTGTCGATCTTCAATAATTAGTTAAAACTGATAGGTTTTCAGGGATTATACTGAATATTATTTCTTTACTATCCTCTTGTTCAATCACCTATCTAGCTTATCAAAAAATTCTACAATATGAAATTCCAATTTGTCTTGATTAGATAGTATTTATCTTTTAAGGTCGACTGAAGAGGAAATAGCATTCAAATCGAAGTTGATATTAAATTAATATATCAAAGCTTTATAAGCATGATATATAGCAAATTAGTTTATTGGCCTTCTAATGAACATCTGGAATTACCAGTTGAATTGATAAACCATTATTATGCAAACTCAAAAAAAGTCAGTATGATGAAAAAATTAAACAAATTTCCTGTCTCGGAAAAATCGATTTTAGATTATCCTCTCAACTAACCTATGGTTCCACATACAGGGCTTTGAGAATTATCCATATCGAAAATAAAATCTCTATACTCCGGTGGAGGTTCTCTACGGACTGGAATAGGAACAGAAGCCGAAGTTATCATGACGTTTGATTCGTTCATGGGTTCTTGTTTAATGATTATTCCAGGGTCTAGGCTGTAGTCGTGGAAATCTCCCATACCTCTAAAAGGAAGAGAAACTATTATAGATCCTAGTGTTATTGATAATAACTGCTTTCTTATTAATTGGGTACTGTCTGTTTCGTAAATTTTTTCTCCCATTCTCAATGAATGAACGAACGTGGATTTAATTACAGTATTTTGGAAACATGTTCAATACTCTATCTAGGGCTTACATGGAATAATTGCGATAAGTCCCTTGATGAACACATTTGGGTTGCAACATTTTAGTCGATACACAAAAACTGGTCTATTCTTAAATAAAACACTGGAATGTGGGACTGATTTTTCATTCATTTGCTGTTTATCGCAATGCTATTCATTGCACACACACACAAAACTACTAACTTAGTTATTAAATTCAGAATAAAGACTGGCTTTAACAACTAAGTACATAAATGGAATGTAAATTATCAGATAAGTTTTATCAGCAGCAGAGGGCAAATTATCGAAATAGGGCAATAATCTTATATTTTTTTATAAATCGAAAGTAAATTGATATAATTTTATCTCCCAAGCAGGATAATTTCATTATTTAATGTTTTATCAAAAGGCGAGATACAACACAAACTTTTTCCTTGTGGAAATTCGCACCTATAACATCAAATTTCCTTAACATAATAAATCCATCTGACTGGAGGCAACTAAAAAAGCATTTCACGAAAAAATTGCAATACTTATGATTAGCTGAGGTCATACGAGATCTTACTGAGTGGCTAGTGGCAATAAAAAGTGCATCACTCGCGATACAAATGATTTTATCTATTAAAATGTGCATTAATTCCGCAAGTGTTTCTGTGCAACTAAGGGTCGTAAAATTAAAAGTGTGAATTATGAACCATAACGCACAGTCGGCACAGAAGAGCTTCTGTTTTCTTCGTCAGAAAAACACTAAACCACAAGTTTGTAAATGTTTTTTAAATGGTCTCGACTGGTCATTAAATCCTCAGATAATAGTATAGTAATCAGTAGTTCGATAATGCAGCGTACTACAATCTGAACTTATTCACATGTAAAGTTACACCAAATATACTTTTCTGTGGAGTTTATTGTGACAATATCTCAGATTGATAAGATATTTTACATTTTTATACTCATCATTTATTCATTAAAAAAATGTCGCCCCACCTTGTAGTTACAATTCCTAGCTAATTCCATTCAATGCAAAAGTAAATAAAACAAAATGAACATAGCGCTGAATAAAATTGCCATGATCATAAACATAAAATCATTGTCAAGTTCATTACTTGGTTGTAAAGTGTTTTAACCTTTCAATGTTACTTTTATCTATTCTTTTCTGTACAATAAGCGCGTAACACCTTGTCGCTCCTGCAAACCTTGAAACGGGCAGGTGAATTTTTGTGTTAATTATTTTTCAAATGTGACTGGCCGCGGATTGGAGAACCAGTTGAATAAATGGTTGAAGAGTGAAGAAACATGATATTATCACAAATGAATCATTTAAATTAATTTAATTCGTCTTATGTAAGCAAAACATGGTTTAGCGATTTTTCAATTAAATTCCTTCAGATTAGGTGCAGAGTACAAATGGTAAAATGTGATGAAATAACTTAGACTCATTGAGTACAGTAGGTAATAAACATGTGCATCATGTTTCAGACCAGATTTACGATTTAAATGTTAATCAGTTGGTCTATGTTAATGGACTACCGTGTCACATTTTATGAAGAATGCCGGATTTTTCCTTATTTAATCAGCCTCCAACTAGATATGAAAAACTTATTCAGTAATACATATTTATATTACTGTATTAATCAATGTCTGAAATGCATTGCAAAGAACTGAGTTGAGTAAATATGAACATTCTTTGCGTACCTATGTCCTAAACATTTAAGCAGGCGGAATATACCGGGTGTTTTATAATTTTAATTATACTGGCACGGCACTCTCGAAAGGCTGAGAAAACACACAATTTCAACAAGATCATAAATTTCCCTTTTAGTGAATTGAGAGGGCTTGAAAACAATTCTAAGAGGGAAAATATGTGTAAAAAAGTTTTTATATTCTATTTTATCAACCAGCAGAAAAGTGGTTTAGCGATTAGCGGAGGAGCAAACGATCACAAGTAATTTTTTCGATCATTTTGGTATTTACGAGAAAGTAGTAAAACCACACAAACTCTTTAGGTCTTTAATAATTACTGACTTCAAATTCTTCTACTGCTCTAACTTCCCTTAAATGTTTGCGATTCCTCATAAAACACCATGTAGATGAAACTAGTTTAATCCAAAGGATAGACAACAACTACACGGTAGATACAAAAAATAGATATTTTGAAGCAAAATTATTTTTTATTTACTGACTGTTGGTGCCTTAGGCAAGTAGGTTTTCGGAATTTAACTGAGTGTACTGGTTTTCTGGAAAGCCATTAATTGAAAATAATCATGCCATAAACAAAGTAATTCATATTAAAATGCACACGTATTGTTAGCCTTATCCTGAAAGATTAGCAAAAAGGGAGTTTATGCAATAGCAATAAGAATTTCATTGCAATAAATTGTATTTCCGATAATATTTTATGGAGAAAAACCGTTGAATTGATTGAAAACCCGTTTAATTATTGCTTATTTTACTAGATTCGTAAAAACAGTTTTTCTAAGCAACAGTAAGCTAACTTGATTATCTAGCCTTGTTTATAATTATTATTCCTGTGCATACAGAGTGCAACTGTTCTCAGAGTTTTTTTGGAAGATGGTTTTCCTAAAAACATTTTTGATTTCAGTTTGTCTGTGCAAATACTTGATCTTAAAATAAGTTAAACGCCGAAACTTCGCAGTCTGAACTTAAAAACGATCTGCTCTTGTGACTTTTTATGATTTGACATTCAAAGAAAAAACTTATTGCTGATTACAAGTTTTTAACATAACAGTTACTTAAACATCGTAGGCATCTAATATGATTTTATGATTTTTAAATTTGTATGTTTTAATATCAATTTAGTCTTTACTGATCGCTAATGCGGTTATACATTTTGTTCGGCCTATGCTTAATTTTTGGAAAGCTTTTAGGCTGATTATTACTACAGGATAGGTCCTTTAAAATTACCTTCTGAAAACATCTTAAAAATATTTTATAATTTGAATGGAAATAAAAGTGATTAGTACTTAGTTTAGTTAGTACTTGGCATTAGAGACGACACGAAATAATTGTCACAGGTATTTTGGAACAGATATCGATATGGAACAGTCGGTACCTATGACCGATATTTAAAATAACAGGGCTCGCCTACGATGCTGGTGAGGACCAGTACAACATGGTATTTCGATATTTCAACAAAGCAAAAAGGCAAATACCTGATTTTGTGCCTTTTTTTATTTTTTTTTATTTTTTACATTTTTTATAATCTTTTTATTCTCGTGAAGTGGTAAGGTTTTGTATGTATGGGAGTGGGACGTGCACCCATGATTCGGCAAATAGCAATATTCAATGAACAGAAAATGTCGGAAACAGCAGTAACAGCCGTCTCCGATATTTTCTTTAATGTGACCAGGCCTGTGAGTCACAGGTTGTGACCGACTGCCTGTTTTTTCGGAATTCTGAGCTGTTCCTTGTCCTTGAAACTTGATCTTTTTCGACCAATAGCAGTGCTTCTCTAGCATTTCTAGCAATTGTAATCAGTGATTAGCATGAAAATAGAAGATTTTTCACATTTTACTGTCCTTAAGTGGGAAGGATAAAAAATGTGGTCACCTTTTTTTGTGCTCAAATAAAATAGTGTCGATAAAATGGAAAAAACGTTACTCATAAAAAATGTTATTACTTTTTTTTACCATCAGCTCTTGCATACATAAAGGAACAAAGGGCATTCTGTCTTCGGTGATAAATTATCTCTGACCCAGCAGATTCGCACCTAAATTACTATATCCTTCAATGGAACAATTAGTGCAGTCGGATTAGATTAGATTTTTTCCGGGCACTAAATAGATGAAAGTAAAATTTTTTATAATTAATTTGG